ATATACAAGAGCACACACAGTTTTACACACACACACACACACACACACACAACACATTGGTGTACACATGTGCACACCGAGAAACACAATAGGAAGTCTGGATACTGACAGAAGAGTAGTAATTAGGACTCTGTGCTGTGGATATTCTTGGTACAATACTGATCAGTGTCATCCCTTAGTGTGTGTGTGTGTGTGTGTGTGTGTGTGTGTGTGTGTGTGTGAGAGAGAGAGAGAGAGAGAGAGAGAGAGAGAGAGAGAGAGAGAGAGAGAGAGAGAGAGAGAGAGAGAGAGAGAGAAAGAGAGAAAGTCTGATGCTGCCGCTGCTGCTGCAGCCCACAGTTTCCATGGTAACGTCGGAACCCATCTTGGTCTCTATGGCAACTTCTGGTTGGCACCCACAGAGAGAGGGAGAGAAAGAGCGAGAGATGAGGGGAAGAAAGAGAGGAGGTGAAGACATGGAAGTGAGGGATGAGAAGGAGAGACAGAAAGGGGGGAGAGACAACAAGAATGGGGAGAGGAGCTGTTGGAAAGTTGGTGAGACAGACTGAATTAAGAGTTTAAGTAAAGACTTAAATTGTACTTAAATTAAGTTTGGGTAACCTTGGAGTTCGTTAAAAATTTGTACCATTGTCTGCCTGCTCATGTTAGTTGCCCCATCTTTTTTAGCGATATTACCATGTTCCCAGATCTAAGAAATGATCTTTGTGAGTACAATATTACAGGAATAATGGCAAAAGTTACAAAAATAAGTTGTGTGCGTGTGTGTTCTCAATCCATTTGTCTAACAGCTACTGTACTTAATTGGTCTTTCCTTTTCCTTTACCACAGTCACATCATTAGCCTGCTAGTAAGACGTACACTTGCAATGTGCACAACTCCAGACCCTTGTACTTAGTCTCATTGTGGTTGCTGCATCTGAATAAATCATTACCGGATGTTGGCCGGATGTGTTCCTCTATAGTCTGTCTAAGCAGGAAAAAGTCTTCTAAAAGATTCTGGGGCAGTGTCCTTCTGTTTACCAGACGGTGAGGAGTTCAGATTTGCAGCATGACAAGAGCTGGATTTTGGAATTTCATATTAAGATGAAATCAAAATGTCTTGACTGCATATGTTTGTGCTGTGTACATGTTAAATAAAGAAGGTTTTCTTTGTGGTACTCCTGCTGTTTTGTGTTTACATGGTTGAGAAGTAGGGCTGCACAATTAATTGAAATCGCAATATGACAAAGTGCAATATCATGTTTTGTTCGACCAACAAATGTCACATCATCTTGATGTTAATAGTTGTGATTCCACTAATCGCAAACAATGTCGCAATATCCATCAGACAAATCACAGCCCTATTGAGTATTTGGTACATTCTTTTGTTCGGGGTATTTTTTCTTTTCTTCTTGATCAATTGAAAACTGCATGAAAGAAACATAGACACACTCATATAATCACACACACTAGACTATGATGTGTCTGTGGGTTTTTTTTCTCCAAAACAGCTTAAAGGCTAATCCTCCCTTGCTACACACACACACACACACACACATACATATACACAGAAGGTCATGGCGAATGGAAACATTGTCCGCTGTATGGTAGAATGTCGATACTATAATCTGATTGGTGTAGTTGATGGATAGGCGGTTTGGTTGACCTATCACAGTTAACTGAATTATTGCTCCCACATACTCACCTTTCTGTCATTCTGTCTGCCTTCTTCTCTCTCTGACTCTGTCTCTTTAGTCTGCCCCCCCCCCCCCCATATCCATCCTCCTCTTCTCTCTTCTTTTCTCTCATTTCTTTCCAGTCACTAACCAGATTAGCAGTGCCCCTTATGGATTTTGCCCTTTATGGGTCTTTATGAACGGAAGGAAAGGAGGCAGAGATGTGTGTGTGTGTGTGTGTGTGTGTGTGTGTGTGTGTGTGTGTGTGTGTGTGTGTGTGTGTGTGTGTGTGTGTGGTGTGTGTGTGTGTGTGGGGCTGTGTGTGGCTGTGTGTGTCAGGCTGAGCTGTTCCTACCAGATGTTTTTCTCTGTTTTATTCTTCTGAGCGCCGCACTGTCTGCCTGTCACCGGCAGACACACAGCCTGAGTGTGTGTGTGTGTGTGTGTGTGTGTTTGTGTGTGTGTGTGTGTGTATCTGTGTGTGTTTGAGAGAGAGAGTGATGGAGAGCTTTTGTGTATTTGAGAGGTAGGATACACGTGTGTCGGTTTGTGAGATTAATTACTTCCGCATAGACTACTAATACTCTATGTGTGGTAGAGGGTCTGCAATACGAATGACGAATATAACAAATAAATCAATTCGCTTGGCTCTGAAACTGACGCACACACGCAGATTGAAAAAGAAGACTGGTGTTTAATGTGAAAATCTTGATCTTTATCTTTTAGATGGATACGTTTGTGCCAATAAAGCACACTGGATGGGCTTGAATTGAAATGAGAGGAGGTTACACAGACAGAGACGAGAAACAAAACAAGTTTAAGACAGGTTTCTGAGCAGCCCATTCAGGTGCAGAAACCCTGGCCTAAAAATCAACTTACCTTTCAAGTTGTCTGTCTTTCAAAATGTACAAATCCTCCTTATTATAATTCATCTCATTTCCTACGCAAGATTCTCGAGCATTTCTAAGTGTGGGAAAAACACTTCCAAATCTTAGTTTGTATGATAATCACATCATTAAGTACACAGACTCAAAGCATTAATCTTTTATTAATATCCAGAAGTTACTTAAATAGAAGAAACTGAAATAAATACCTGCCTAACCATTCATTCTTAACATTGAACCTGACAGTGAAACCACAGCTGTCATGTCAAAACTGTGACTACATCACTGATTCCCATGATATGTGTGTATGTGAGTGGCGTAATGGTAGTTTGACACCGTCTCTCTCCGTGCTGAGAAAGTTGTTTGTTTAGCTGGACCCACTTTAGATTCACATCAGCCTTAACAACAAATCCGAATGTAGCCACTGTATACATGAGCTTATCCAACACTAACATGGGCTTTTAACCTTAGTGACACTTTTTCACCAGTTCTTAAAGACAGATCACTTGAGTAAAACACATTTGAAGAAATTTAACTCTAAGCTTAATATTTAGTATCTTAAAAAAGTAGGGTATTTATACTAAGTGAGGGTTATTTAGATACTGTATTTTGAGATAAAGAATATTCTATTATTAATGGTTTGCATTGTATAAGTTATTATTATTGTATAAGTATATAGTAGATTTGTTTTGTACTCTGACAATGGCCTCACTGTACAGTACTACAATATGAGAAATAATAAAATAATGAATACACTAGGAAAGAAAACATCATATCAGTAAGTACAGAAAAATATACAAACTTAAATGTTTATTTTCACAAAATGTTTAAACTATAGTTCTGAAGTACACTTTTGTTTAATTATGTCAGATTTTATTTTGAAATGGACTTAATTAATAGTGGCAGTTGTGCTTTTATTTTATGTGACTTTTCATGATAGTGTTGTTGACACTCACTCCCACAGCCAGTCACGTGCTACCAGTCAAGCATGTGGCGCAGCTTCTCTAGCTACGTAGCTTCTCCTTGCTAGGGCAACAGTAATGCTAAGTCATTACTTATAATGCAACCTCTAGTTTTAATGTCTGGTGAAAAAAAAAAAAACCTGGTGGCATCATTCTGTTGGGATTCTGACCTCTGTCAGCTTTTGAAGCTTTTTTTGGGGTAAACTTGGACAGGCACATGCAAAAGCTGTGTCCTTCTAGCCTCAGGTTCAGTGGATTCTTCCCAGGAATGGGCCTTGGAGCCTGGAGAGACCTGGCCGGCCTTCTGTCCCAAACCTCTGGCCCACTGCGAGTGTACATCCATGGGAAAACAGTGGGAACAGGAGGAGGAGCAGGGACTGAGATGGATGGATAGATTGATGGATGGAGCTAAACATATTTTTAGATTAAAAAAAAAAATGATGTACCTCAGTGGGACCGACAGAGAGGACAGAAAATATTTCTGAATACAGAATATTTTCGGTGTTATTTACACACATGAGCTTCATAGTTTTGCACCCTGATCTCATTCAGTGATAAACTTGAAAAAAAATTGAGAAAAAGCAGATATGACGGATGATTAGGTGGATGATATGAATTGTTTGGAAGTTTATAATGGTCAGAAAGATCTCTTTCTCTCTCTCTCTCTCTCTCTCTCTCTCTCTCTCTCTCTCTCTCTCTCTCTCTCAAGGCCATTTCAGGACATTTCCCAGGACCCTCTTCGACAGGGGTCATCACTATGACAACAATCTCCAAAGAACTCTGTAGTAGACGAGTTTTGTGTACAGTATATGTGTGTGTATGTGTATGCGTGTGTATACATGCACACACGCATGCATTCCTCTCTTCAGACAGTAGCCTCTCAGGACAGGAAGAGAGTCGCTTTGATTAAATAATCAAAATGCTTTTGATTGTGTACACGATTACGAGTTAGACAAATACTTGTTCACACATAAATAAACAAACACACGCACACCATACACACACCATACACACACACACACACACACACACACACACACACACACACCCAGAAGCCTTATAAACAGTAACAGAACGTTTTGTTCTGGCTGACAAACTCAGAGTAGTAGAGTAAGCAGCCAGCACTACTCATAAGTCACATACAGGGTCTTTAGTGTTGATGTGGGCATAAATAAATAATGTCATGATTGATTATGAAAGTGTGTATATCTTAGTGCTTTGGTATGGCCAGTTGCTCTAAATAACCTACATCAAAAGGGAAAATAGATAAGATAATTGGATATTTGGTATCCTGTTAATAGTTTGTACTAAAATGTGAAATTTAATCTGCTTAAAACAAACTTTACAACCACAGGCCTTTCTATAATCTCCTCTCTCTTTCATCTACTTCTTTTTTTATCATTCAACGCTTGCTCTCTGTCATACTGAGTTGTTCTACGTTCCTGTAATGCTGCTGCTCAGACAAATAAATGGACCTGTCTTGTCTGTGTGTCTCAACAGGAGCGTGTGGAGTATCTGTTCCTCATCATTTTCACGGTAGAGGCATTCCTGAAGGTAATAGCCTACGGTCTGCTCTTCCACCCAAATGCCTATCTGAGGAACGGCTGGAATCTGCTGGACTTCATCATCGTAGTCGTAGGGTGAGTGGACAGAAACACAAAAAAAAGATGAAAATCAGTGAAATGTTTTTTTTAATGGTCCTACGATACACTAAGTGAATCTATGTAGTTAACAACGATAGTCTTGTATAATTGTAATTAACTGTCTTTTTCCAGGGCTTTTAAAAGGGCTACCTGACACATTTTTAAACATCAGCATATCATTGCCAAATTAATCATAGTACCTTGGTATAATTACTGTCAACAAATGAAACTACAGCCAAGACAATTGGCAGCCTCTGTCTAATGCCAGAGGTACTCATAGTGCTAGTGTCTTTTTGCATGAACACCTTTGATTCCAGTAGCAAAGCTGTTGCACTTCCTCTTATATTTGCTAAAATTTTTTCACTATAAGCTGAAAAAATGATGAAGGAGGAAAATATTGTAATAAAAAAAAAAAAAGAAAACTAAAATTGACCTTATTACTCACTGAAAATTGAATTGCTGCCACACAATGTAAATTTATTTGAAGAGGCTGATAGAGTGTTGTTTGTCTACACGAATAATACTGTATATTTGTTTTTTTTATTAAAATACAACTTTTAGGAGAACTTTTGTCATAAAATAATCTTCTTTCACAGTAAATGCGTATTAAAACCGCAATAAACTTTGGCCTAGAGTGTATTGGTGAAGCCTAAACTGATTAGCTTGTTAGATGCTGATAGCAAAGCTCTGCTCTGTTTTCTTTATCTGCAACTCAGCAACATAGCCCATCTGCTAAACCCTCTGTGCCTGTGAGTGTGTGCGTGTGTGCATGTGCGTGTGTGCGTGTGTGCATGTGCGTGTGTGCGTGCCCTGCCTGCCAGCTGTGCTTTGTGTACAGTGTTGTGTCGGAGTAATGGCACAATAGCCAGTGGACCTGACAGTTACATTAATGCCATAAAAATGGTCTAATTGACCATGTGTGTTTGTATATGTGGATGAGTCTGTGTGTGTGTGTGTGTGTGTGTGTGTGTGTGTGTGTGTGTGTGTGTGCAAGAAACCACCCTTCAGCCTGAAGGAAGGCTCTATGAATGCACCAACACACACAGACGCACACACAAACACACTCAGTGAGTCTTGTTCATCGCCAGTCAAGTGTTCACTCACATTAGCCATCACTAAGTGAAAATGGTTGGCTTCACCCCATAGACATACACACACACACACACACACACACACACACAAAACCCATCGGCTGGCATCATGGTGCCAGCGCCCCTGGCATAAACACAACCTTTACCACTCTTATGCTGTTATCTACCCTCTCTGTCTGCCTCTGTCTCTCTCTCTTTCTGTCTCTATTTGAATTATGGCTTTTATTGTGGTGCAGCATAATTTAATTGAGCGGTAACGCAGTATTCAAACTGTTTACCTTGCAACCCTGCCACAGGGAGGTCAGAAGGTCAGATGCAAGCTGCAGGGTTCAGTGTCTTGCTCCAGGGTTGGTGCTTGCTGTTTTGTTAGATTAAAACCTGGATGGCCTCTCTAGACTAGATGCAGACACAATAGCCACAATAAGCATACTTACTCTTCTGAAGTAACCAAATTTTCCTTTCCCCTTTGACACATTAACAATAACTTGGTCACATAAAAGCTTTGGCATGTTGACTTTTGCAGATAGAGCTGAAATCTGACAACTCACCTCTTGCTGTTGTGCCAATAATGTCTTTTCCAGAATTAAGGCAGCAGTACAGTAGAGTTCCCTTGTGAGTACAGTTGTTGAAAGTGGATCACAATCATTTCCCAAACCTCAGTAAAGAAGTTTTACGTGCTTAAACCTAACTATTCCTTTGCTAAGGGCTAGCAGATTACAAAACTCTCATACAAGATGTTTCTGGAAAGCTGCGATTTGTCATTTTGGAAGGCTCTGACTTAGACCTATTTTGTCATTTAAATATAAAAGGATGTTGTGGAAATGACAAAAAAAGTAAAAACCCGTTTGTATACGCACACTCATTCAATTTCACACACTCAGGACACACAGATCTAGGAAATGTTCAGCTGTGGCAGCACTGTATCTCATGCATGCATGAGTGGTTGTCTTTGTGCCTGTGTGCCTAACTGCCAGCCTGCCTTTGCCTGTGTGTGTGTGTGTGTGTGTGTGTGTGTGTGTGTGTGTGTGTGTGTGTGTGTGTGTGTGGGTGTGGGTGTGTGTGTGGGTGTGTGTGTGTGTGTGTGTGTGTGTGTGTGTGTGTGTGTGTGTATAGATGAGAAGTGACAGAGTTCGTTCCCTCTGGATTGTTCACCATATGGGTGAAAGAGCTTGTACCTGGTGCTGAGCAGCCTCAGAGGCACACACACACACACACACACACACACACACACACACACACACACACACATGTGTTTTGTGTACCTAAGACTTTATAAGTGAAGGCTCATGCTGTGTGTGTGTGTGTGTGTGTGTGTGTGTGTGTGTGTGTGTGTGTGTGTGTGTGTGTGTTCAATATGATTACGTACTATATAGACTTCCTCTTTTGTATCTGCTTTACATAGCTCTCCTTCTTCACGTCTCTGTCCTCGATCATTTCTCTTTACCCTCACATGTATTATTCTCCTCTTCCTACTTCTTCTCCACTCTTTTTCCACCTTTATACTTGTTTATCGACAGTCAAATAGCTGTAGGTTTGCAACAAAAAAGAGAGTATAGAGAGTGAAACCTTCAGGTAAAAATGTGAGATTAAAGTATTGACAGTTAGCATTTGGTTGGTTACCTGATTCACTGATTGGCAAAAAAACAAAAAGAAATCAGTCATTTAATTCACATTTCACTGGTTCCAGCCTATCAAATTTTACAATTTGCTGTATTATTGTGTTTTATATCATTGTAGATTGAATAGCTTTATGCTAAGCTAGGCAAAAAGAGCCATTTAAATACATCACCTTTAGCATGGGAACTGGATGATGTTTTTCAGTGGTATTGTGGTGTTTTGATTACAATGAAACCACACAAACTCTGTTATCTTTATGAATGTACACAGCTTCTACTATCTTTAGCTGTGGATGTACACAAGCAATTATGTGGTGCTACACTCAAAGGCTCTAATTATCATTTAACACCCCACCATGGCAAAACATGCTGGGCGAAATGCTGATGGTGCAAAACTGTGGATCCTTGACATGCTTTTCATACTCTGTTTCAAAGGCGTGCTTCCCACCGAGAGAGAGGGAGAGAGAGAGAGAGAGAGAGAGAGAGAGAGAGAGAGAGAATCAAATTGAGAGGGAGTTAGTGCGAAATAGAGAGGCCCGAGAGAGAGAGGGAGAGAGGGCGATATGTTTTGAGAGGTCTTTTCAAGTGGCCATTTCATCTGTGCTAATTGATAATTCTCCATGACTAACGCGCTGCTGACTGGCCTTTGAGCTGCACTAGCTGGAAAATGGTATTGTATGGTGATTTCTAAAGGATCTCGGAGAGACAGAGAGGAGAGAGGGAGAGTGATAAGCACAGCTGGATGTACATCATTTCAAGCTTGTGAGCCACTCACATCCAGATGTCTGTAATAATTTCATCGGGGATAATACCCAACAAAAGGCAACAGCATGAAACATGTTTAGCCCTTTGATTGAAGAGTTTTCTTTTTTTTTTTACATTATTATGTGTTTCTATTCACTTTGTGTATGGAATGTACACTGTATGGTCAAAAGTGTGTGGACACCTTAACATTATACCTGTGTGATTGTTGAACATTTCATTGCCAAACCATGGGCATTAATTTGCTTCTACTCTATTATAGCCTCCTCTTTTTTTGGAAGGCTTTTCACAAAAACAACCTGGCTGCACAGATATGTTCCCCTTCGTCAGGCACTGATGCTTGGATAGCATTTGGCAATTGCATTTTTTTTAAGTTATTCTACCCCAAACTTGATAAAGGTGATGTAGATGATTGAGTTTAGTATTAAATAATCCTTTTGGACCTCGCTTTGTGAAGGTTATGTTTAAACAGAAAACAATACTCCCCAAACTGTTGCCACAAAGTTGTTGTTTAAAACAGTGCTCTCCAACCTTTTTGGCTTGTGACACCTTAAAAGAAAATCTAAACCTGGGTAGCATAGTGCCAAAGAGTGAGCTTCATTTTTCAGACTGCTTACTTTGAATATTTATAATAACAATGTATTTCAGAAGAAAAGTCATACAAAAATCATGTTATTCATCTCATGTTCCTCATGAGTCATCCTGCAAGCCTTTGGGGGAGATTCACTGGTCTCTTTATATATCTACATGATATGATATATACTGTATGAATTCAGCAGTGTTAAAGGGAAAGTTGTGTGACATCACATGGCATGGGATGTGTGCTATATCTGACAGTATGAGCACACAATCACTTATAAACACATTTTTGGAGACACCTCCCTTCACTACAGACATACACAGTGTTCTGTTGAGCTGACTGTCAAATCATTAAAGTCGAGTGTCTCACATTTCCTTATCTGTGAAAGACAGAGGGAACAGATGAAACACTTTCTATTGTTGTGTTGGAGAGCTAACTAATTAAGGTGTTTTATTTTCTGCTGTTGAGTTTTCTCCAAGAAACACATTTGATTGTGAAACTGCGCAGATGTCTTCATCATTCCCTTTGCTTTTAAAATGTTGGTCCCAAACTAGATTGATCTCTAAGTTTACCACACTTTCACTGTTTTATAGATTATGATAAACATTGTGAAAATGGTTCAGTTTAGTATTGACAACAGTGGCAACAGAGGAAATGGAAATGAAGGCTATAATGCTAGCAACCAGAGATATTCATCACTCTGTATTATATCTCTGTATGTCTGTATCTCTTTTATTGTTTTCCCCTCTCTCAGATATTCTCTAGTATGTGGAAATGGGATGTCAACCTGATGATGACGGTTATTGAAGTCATTACTTTCTGTCTTGCAGGTTATTCAGTGCGATCTTGGAGCAGGCCACCAAGGGGGATGGCGCCACTCCTATTGGAGGGAAGGCAGCAGGCTTCGATGTCAAGGCTCTGAGAGCTTTCAGAGTACTCAGACCCCTCAGACTGGTCTCTGGAGTACCCAGTAAGTACTGAGAGGTGTGGAAGAAAGAAAGAAAAAAGGAAAAAAAAAAAGAAAGAAAGAAAGAGTAGAAATGATACTCTGAGGATCAGGTGTGAATGGTGATTGGGTGAGGTGGGGGAGAAATGAACCACAGATTGGAGCTGATATTGCTGCTATATGCCACACATACACACACAGTGGCACCTAAATGCACACACATACACTTCACACACAGAGTACTCTTATGCTGTTGTCAGATACTCAGACAGTACGAGCAGTAGATGAGTTGTCTATCAGCCTGTCTGTGTAAGTGACTGCAGAAATCAATAATCCAACAGGCCAAAAGACAGGAAAACATCAGATATCGTGGATGAAGGCTATGCACGTGTGTGCACCTGTGTGTATGTGTTTGATAGTTCTTGTAGCAGGCAAATGCACAGACTGCCAGTGCACATCCCACACTCTTGTCATTTGGTTTGAAAGAGTGCTGCAGTGCACAATATTTAGTCTGTACCCTGTCCAACATTGCTGGACTTTGTATTGAACTGGTATCATGGCAACTGATTAGCAGCATGTTTGCTAGCTGATTAGTACACTTTTTAAAGGCTTCCAGTGCCATTGCTGCTTCTGTGCTGTAAAACTTACAGAAATAATGATCTGTAAATTAACTTTGGAATGAACCTGCTTGTTTTGTTAAAATGCGTATAGGTTCTAGATGTCATAACCATGCCAACACAACTAATACGAGGAACAAGTACTGTGTTATGTAATTTAATTAACAGATACCAGAACCATTCCAAGTACTCCTCAGTCATTGATGCCACCCACTGTAGTTTTATCGTTTACTTCACCAAATTACATCACCACAGTCTTCACTCAAAATTTCAAACTGATAACAATTCAATTGTGATCATCATTTTAGCTGGAGGATATACATAACTTTTTGTTATTTACAGAAGAATTGAGGCCTTTAAAGATCTCATAGTATGCAACATTCACTGTTTATAGGTACTATAGTTTGGCACAAAGTCATTGGTTACAGCTACATGCAAAAAAGTAAAATATGAAGCTGTTGTAAAGTGATAAAATGTGTATTTATATGCACCAAATCATGTCTCAATAAATTTTTTGACAAATGAATCACCAATACTAATACGCCTCCTTAACAGAATGTATTCCTGTCCCAGTTTCTGTGAGTTATTAGCAGTATTCTGAGCCTTTGTCCATCAAGGCATTCAGTAAATTAACTGCAAAGTTGTATCGCCTATGAGCGAGTTCTGTTTTGAAACTACCATGTTCTGCATTTTTCCTGAGGAACTTACTGAAGGTGCACACTGTAAGTGTATGATGACATGCAAAGAGATTATTAAAGCTTTAGAACAAATACTATAGTCAGTTTGAGTGCTTACATAGTCATTAACTACAACTATTTGGCTATGTTATGTACTACACAAGGCTTTCATCATTAATATTATTATAATTGACTATTCCGATAATCTTTTTCTATGTATTCTCAGCAGTTCCTGTGTGTGTGTCATGCAGGTTTACAGGTAGTGTTGAACTCCATAATCAAAGCCATGGTTCCTCTGCTCCACATCGCCCTGCTGGTCCTCTTCGTCATCATCATCTACGCCATCATCGGCCTGGAGCTCTTCATGGGCAAGATGCACAAGACCTGCCGTTACGAGCATATAGGTACATACACACACACATATACACACTCACACACATGCATATACGAAGACAGAGAGATAGAGGGAGAGAGGGAGAGAGTGTCTAGACTATTGCACACGGATGCACAGATGCATAACAAACATGGATGATCAAACACATACGCTTGCATACCGCACTTCAATGCTCAGATACATCTTGAAGCATGTATTCAACTGCCTGTGAACGCATGCTTCAATAAGCATATGTTCAAACACACAGACACACACACTTCAACTCTTAAGATGGACACACAGGTGAATAGTACACCACACAAACCTTTTCAAATAGCAAAAAAAGCTATAGCTGTGCAGTCACCTCACTACCCTGATGTAATGAGAGTGATGTGTGCATAAATCGTTGACTGCAGTAAGACATCACCCATCAGCCAACAATGCCGGCACATACCTTAAACAGTTTAAATGATAACCTCCATTAATTATTTAAACCATCATTTATGTTTCTGAGTATGAATGATTTGGCCAATAATTGAAACAGCAGCCGCCATGGAAACAATTTTCAGTCAAGGCCCCTAGGTATAAATGGACTTGAGTGTTGTTATGGGGATGTTATAGGTCCCATGAGAGGCATTAGCTTTGCACTGGGTAAGTGCTGGTGGACTACTTGCTGTTATCCTATACATCACCCTCGAGAGCTTGTTTTGTATAATTAGTACAGCACTTTTTCACATTGATTTTTTTATGGCTCCCCTGTTTGGTTCTAGTTCAGAGTGTCCTTTTTAACCTTATTTTAGTTTAGATGTAGATCAATTTTAGAATTAAAAGTGGGATTTACATTATATTTCTCCTAAGAGTCATTTTCTGCATTGGTAGTGTTGGACCACTTACAAAGATTGCATGGAAAACTTGGACATGGAATCATTGGTGCAAAAGATGAGAAACTACATTAGAAGATGCTTTTTTTTTTTAAGTTATAGGCCTGTGTACATAAAAACATGAGAGAGGAAACTACATCTGTCAAGGAACAAATCCGTAAGAAACATCCCATAACTAAAATTGTTTTGCATCAGCCTCTAACATTTAAGGGAAAGCAAAAGATAACGCTTTATACAAACCTGGTTATACATTTATTATTTTTGTATCCGTTCACTCTCTAATTCTGGGTCCTTTTTAGACGAATCCAGGAAATATGGTGCAGTGTGTTGTTCCCAGTTGCGATGACAAAGCATTCTGGATTTGTTATAGCTCTGATTCACACCTCTGACTGGCCTCTTTGTCATAGCAATAGTGGCGGAGGCTTGTAACTTACAAAAAAAAAGATTTCTTAGGGACAAAGCTGAAATAATAAAAATAATGGCCATAACATAAACCTGTAGTATCGTTAAATTATCCAGGAGACTCTAGTGGTTCTGTGTGTGATTCTGTAAGTAGAATTAAGGATATCATTAAAAGAAACTTTCTGCTGGAGCCAGCGGCTGCTCCCATCAAGAGTCACTTGTGTTTGGGTCAAAAAGATGCAGTATAACAGTATCTCTTTCATCACAGGCACCAAAGCGGAAGAAAAGCCGGCACCGTGTGCACCTGACGGAGCTTATGGTCGGCACTGTATGCAAAATGGAACTGAGTGCAAAGGGGGATGGGAGGGCCCAAACGACGGAATCACCAACTTTGACAACTTTGCCTTTGCCATGTTGACGGTTTTCCAGTGTATAACCATGGAGGGCTGGACGGACGTGCTGTACTGGGTGAGTCGGACACCACAGCAGTGTTTTTATGTTATGTCTTTGTGTGTGTGTATGCGTGCAAGGAGTTCCATACTGCTTGGTGTGTGTAGTCACTGTACTGTATCTGTAACATCAGTGCCACATGAGTGCTTTTGCGAAAAGAATAAAAACCTATAACACAGACACTTGTCTCTGAAAGGCAGGTGTGTACACAAAGACACACACACAGATTGTGCTTGTCTGTGTGTGTGCGTGTGTGTGTGTGTTAGCTCATATCTCAGGCTAAATCGATGCAGACAATACACTGTGTAATTGAAGGCGCCGATTCATTTGGAACGTGTGTAGAATCCTGATGCTTGATTCAAGTGAACACACATACGCGTACACACACACACACACACACACACACACACACACATTCAGCCGCAAAGGCATATGAACACACAAAAACTATCCCTTCCCCAGTAAATGGCCAGTAACATCCAGCAGCCCCATCCAGCTAAATAAACCAATGGATTAGTCTGTGCTGTCAATCAATGAAAGGGAAGGTTCAATCAAACTTACACATGCGCCTCCTTGAGAGAGCAGACTTCTGCAGTGGATGTTTGGCTTCACACACAGATTATGATATTGATGATGTCCCGATAATAGGTGGAAAGGGTTCATGTGTCAGTTACAGAAAGGTCCTCTATATGCCTGCACACTGCGGTCTGCCTCTCCACTGCAACTCACTCATGTGGTACAGATGCGTAGTAATCCTTTCTTTTCAGCTGAATGTCTGCATTAACTGTGTAACAATACAATGAAATTGTGCTGATTTCAAGCTATCAGGTTGCCCCAGTTTGTATCTTTAATTATTATCATTACATTTACAGAGCTAAGCATTCATTTCTCTGAAATTTAAATCTCCAGTGATGTTTCAGAGAGCCAGATAGCTGTTGAACAACACTTCATGCATTTATGACAGTATTTATTTTCCAGGATGCTCAGACTTTTCTGTTCATCTTAATGAAATAATAATTTGCCTGCTGCACAATGAGAAGGTTTCTCTCCTGTATATTGTATTATTGTATGTATCTTGACTATATAAATCTAATCAAAGAAAAAATATCAGCCAAAAGTGTTTGATTTGTGCTTAGTGTTATGTACACAAAATGTGGTATAATATAGATAAATATACCTGATAATAACACGTTTTGTTCATATTGTGAAGTGAACAATTAGATACAGTATGTCACTTTCAGAAACCTTTCCTGTTTGAATAAAGAAATCTATATGCAACGGACAGATTATCCTTTCATTCAGACAGATTGAAGACTTTGTAGATTTTGGAAATACCAGTGTTAAGAACTGGTAGATGACATTTAAGGTTTTTGAGAAATATCGAGTGATTTCGCTTTCAGAGGAGCAGATTTTGAGCTCTGTGACTGGAATGTAATGATAATACATGAGCGGTACAAACTGGGACTAGCTGTCAGAATACTAAATTAATGGATGAATCATTAGATTAGTAAATGTCTTAATGACTGTACATACAAGCAGTGTGTGTTTGGACGCGAGTTGTCTGAATGGATATACTGTATACACATGGAGCAGAGAGCTTACTAGCTCTACACCCCTCCTGCTACTACCCTGTCTGCTGAAACCTCTTGCACACACACACACACACACACACACACACACACACACACACACACACACACACACACACACACACACACACACACACACACACACACATACACACACCGTCACATTAGTTAAATCATACAATTTGCTTATTATGAGAGCGTTTGTCTAGCCAGCTCTCTTTATAATGAATGGGACCTATTTAGAAGTAGTTATAAGTACAAATGATTATGGAAAAACATTCAGGCAACTCCAAGCCTTCCATTAAGTTGTGGCCATGCATTTACATAGTTTTCATTGTCTTACATTTTCAGGAATATAGATTAATGACATCCACTAGCTGCTGCTGTTGTAGCAAATGAACACTGTCTCTCTCTTCTCTTTTCCTCCTTTATCTCCCTTTTTGTCTCTCTCTGCCCTGCAGTCACCATGTTAAAATAACAGCTCTTTAATTGATAGAATTGGAAATATTCAGTGTTACTTTAAAATGTATCTTTTTTACTGTTGTCTTTTAAAAGCTCATCATTTGAATGTACGTACTCATAATCTGACATTTCAACAAACAAATCTTGAATACTTCTCAGACATCACCTTGTCCACATCATCTCTCATTTACGTCAGCCCTAGGAACGATCTGTCTCTGTTCAAGCAATCCTTAATACAATATCCAGATGAGTGTGTGGAATAAATCCCTGCAGCTGAATATCCTGAAACAAGTCATCTTTACTGATTTCCCTTGGATTTCTTTAGTGTCACATGCCATGAATAATAGAACTTGTTTAGATGAACAATTCTAGAGTCACAGCATCTCAGAGACTGTTTACACCTGGTATTAACATGTGTCTTGGGTGATCTGAACAGAAATGGACATCTTTAAGTATGTGAGTTTTATGTCCATTCTTTCATGTCAGCGGCAACACTAGCCTGTTGCTTTTACTTACTACTTAGCCGCCCTGCAGGAGGGACGCTGATGCACTGTGGAATTTTATAACTTAACTTTATGAGTAGGACATACACTTTTTTTAACTGCGTGTGCGTCCTGCTCCCACCACAAAGCGTCTCTCCTGCCCCCTGGCTGCTGAGAAGGATGCCAGCCCAAGTGTCAGTCACAGTGGACGGCAGTAGAGGAGGTTGTACCACTGTCTAGCCAACACGCTGGGAGATAACTAAGTAAGAAATAACCTAATGTGTAACATTTCCCAAAATTAGATAGAGTTTCACAAAGTTTATAAAGTTTCTCCTCACTCGAAAACTCTCAAACTTTTGTGATTTTTTTAAGGTCTGGGGATATTTTGGTTAGTAGTTCAATGGTCAAATCAACTGAATCAGACAAAAACTGTTCTGCTTATCTTGGCAGATAAAAGAGCTCAAGCACGTCCTTTGCATTACAGGTAACCAAATAATAGAGGGTTTTTTTCATGTGTACTTACAGGATGTCAGTTGTTTAGGTGGTCATTCAATGTGGCCCAGGACGCACGAAGATACATGGTCAAATGTGTCCCAGACTGCCTCGACAAGTGGTTTGAGTGATCGGATCACAATGCGTCTTGGCGATCATTGTACACTTGTATTTAGAACTGTCCACTTGTGATCGGATCACCCAAGGCCCACCCAGCTTTCCAAGTAAATATTTCTTAAGGGATTGTGCAACTGTGTAAACACACTCTCTTTGAATAAGAGCAAAGGTTTGTCATTGAGTTACAAAAGCAGTTAAGTATTGTTTAGTGTGGATTGTCAAGCACATGCTCTCCAACAGGCGGACAAATAGGTTTATACACACACTCAGTCATACAATACCACCCATGCTTCGCCATGTCTTTCTACTGCACTTTCTAACATGCACTGCTTTGTTCCTGTTTCCTGCCGTCATCTTTTCTTTCCTTGTTTCCCTCTCTAACACATTTTCTCTCCTTGACCTCTGCTTCCCCCTCTCATTCACTTCTTCATTCTATGTCAAACCTTTTTCTGACACATTTCTTTTTCCTTCCCCATTGCTCTAATCCCTCTTTTCCTTACACCTCCTTTAATCCCCCTCTTCTCTCCTCCTTCTCTCCTCTTTTTTCTTGTCTCAGATGCAGGATGCTATGGGCTATGAGCTGCCATGGGTCTATTTTGTCTCTCTCGTCATCTTCGGCTCCTTTTTCGTTCTCAATCTCGTTCTGGGGGTGTTGAGCGGGTAAGAGGTTGTGCTGTTGACATGTGTGTACAAATTTCTGTGTGTGTGTGTGTGTGTGTGTGTGTGTGTGTGTGTGTGTGTGTGTGTGTGTGTGTTGTTTGTGGTGTGGCTGTACAGAACATAGTGTCTTAGATGTGATAATTGACCATGCAACAAGACTTCCTGGACCTTCCTGGAGGCTATTGATTTTAGTTGGCTTTATTTTTAAAATGAACCATAATAGTTTTGTGGCAGTATTGTTCAACTACTGTATAAATCCAGACTCCCATGCTATAAAATGATCCTGTGTCCGCCTTTATTATTGTAATCCAAGTTATTAACATCATCATTTTAATTGTGGACAGTTACTATACACTATAAGAGATTAATACAAAACTTGATACAACATTTACAAATGGTCCAAAATAGTATTAATGTACAGATAATCCTGGTACAGTCAGGTGGTAAACAGAAGAAATTAAATAATGTGATAACAGCACTCTCACGCCAGTAGTCCATCAGTAAAAGTAGAGCCGCCTTGAACAGTTCATAGTCTTCTACAGTCGAGGAAAGATGAACTGATGATCACTGAACTGAGCAAAATCTCAAGCTCTCTCTCCTTTCTGTTCCACTCAATCACTCCTTAGTCACAAGCCCGAGAGAAAGTTACACATACAGTACACACAGGAGAAGCAGAGACGCACCCTCTGTCTATCTGTTATGTTCACGTCAGTTGACCTCAAGGGGGCCAAATCCCGTCACAACCTGTCTGTGATGGGCAGGTGGACACACACACACACACACACACACACACACAAACCCCTCAATTTTAAAGGACCTTTTTCTTCCTTAAACACCCGACTGCATTTGAAGATAATCTTGTGTGTATACATGTGTGTTGGTTTACATACATGCTTGCTCACATTGTTTGTGTATTTGCCTACAGTATATGCATATTTGTATAGAGGCATGTGCTGCGTGTGTGTGTCAATAAATGCCTCTCCAGCAGGCAAGCTGGGTGCTGTTTTACCCCGCTCTGCCAAGTCACGCTGTTTTGGTACAAGCACCACCCAGCCTGTAGGGACACACTGGGGTATTAATAATTCACCCCCCAGGTCAGCCGTGGAGGTGGAACGCTAAAAAAACAGAGTGGAGTCTGGAGGAAACATGGCATTAAAGATGGAAATTATGGGATGGAAGGCTACACTGAGTGGGGAGCATAATTTACCATATATATAATTAGTTAATTACTTAATTGTTTATGTCTTTTTTTTTATTTAATTGAATAATTTTGTGGTGAGAGTAAAGACACTGAGAGAGAATTATTTGTCATAAGGACAGTAATGATGTCCAATCCATGGGAGTCTTGCTGCACGGTCTGTTGAAGTGTCTAACTAATAATGTATTTTCTCCACAGTGAGCCTGTATTTAAACTTGTAACCTTCCCTTTTCACAGAAGCTCAGCTTCGTCACACTAACAGTTAGCGCTAAGTGCAGTTGTTTTGTTTATCTTATGGGTCATTCATAGCCTTCTGTCATTATCACTGTTTTGCATGGCCAAATTTTAATATAGCTGTTAAATCAACCAGTACATCTCCAACTTTGGAAATCCACATTGAATACAGCTGACCAAATACATTGCCATGTGGCCCACTAAGTGACTCTGACAAATACTGTGAATGCACCATAATCACAGCAGGGATCCTGCAGAAGCAAACGGTTCCATCTGTTGGGAAGTTTCACTAAGGATCTAACTCCTTCCCTCTTCCCCTTTTCCCTCCCTTCCCTCCTAACATTCCTTTTTGCTCCTTCCTTTCATCCCTGCATTCTCAATCGATGTCCTCGCTACTTGCCTTCTTTTTTCTCTGTCCAACTTTACCTTCTATCCATCCATTCTGTCTCCCCTCCTTGGTCCCACTCCTCCGTGCCTACATCTCTCCACCTAGGTGAATGATGCAGTAGGGTACAGGTGGCCCTGGGTGTATTTTGTCACCTTAATCATCATCGGATCCTTCTTTGTGCTAAACTTGGTTCTGGGGGTATTGAGCGGGTAAGGGCAAGGTTAAAGGTCACTTGAGACTAACTTCTCTCTCTCTCTCTCTCTCTCTCTCTCTCTCTCTCTCTCTCTCTCCCTTTATGCCTTCATGCTGTTGTTCCTAAAGAGCTTTGCTGTTTTTGCTAGAGGGAACTCTACTTCTGTCTACTTCCCACTCCTGGCTGTAGATGGTGTTTAAGTTAAAAAAGTACTGTCTATGTGTTGTAGTAAAACTGGTAGAGGTACTTTAGGTATTTTAGAAACACAATACATACCAACATGTGGCACATGGAAATGGTTTATATACTATTTGGCAATGCTTGTGTCCGAAGTGTTTTACAGTTCCACGTGTGTATGTGGGTTCGCTGCCCACTGAACTAAATTAACTGCATATATTTTGAGTCATTATCTTTATAGCTGACTGTAGTGAAGTCGTACTTGCATCTGGCTCTAGGACACTTTGACAAGGCAGATGGGTATTCTCTTCTATTGAGGCCTTTTGGATATCACCTCTCTCAATATGCCAAAATGACTCACCCTCTACAACTCTACAGTGTTGCTTCTATAGAATAGCACTATTACTATCATAAAATGCCCCATTGCCAGCGCTGCTGGGAAGGCATAAAACACTGTCATTTCAATTTAAAATAAAAAGCAGTATAAGCCAGTGATATAAATTCAGGCTCCTAGTGGACACAGCCTAATATTACTCCAAATGAAAGTTGTGTTTGTAGAACACACTGTAAAGATATTGACAAATATTTTGCAGCTTGCAGTTGGATTTCAGCTTTTGAGAATACATTAAAACATTAACCTTGAGGTTATTGAACCTTGACAGGTTATTGGCCACCCACCAACCCCCATTAAAAAACATAAATCAATCATTAGCTTTGTATAGTATAATTTTGAATATGAGTTTCCTCACATGCTGTAGGTTATGGTGAACACTGATATGGAACAGGTTTAAGGGAGTGAAGTGTCTCACCCCTGACTGACTGACTGACCCGAATCTGACGCTTGATACCCACAGTGATGTGACAGCAGCATTGTGGGAAAAATAATAGAGGTCTATCAGGTCCAAACAGCTTGGGGGGTTTGGCTGTCTGACTCTTTGTCTGACTTCTGACTAATGATTCTGTCAGCACACTACACAGCCTGACCTTTTACCAACTGCTTCTTCCATGGAGTGTGTGTGGGTCTCAGATTGGCATAATAACTAATGGCTAAACAGGAAGAAGGAGAGCAATGTACGTAGAGACAGAAACATCGGGTGTGACTGTGGTTGTCTGGATTTGATGTACTATGTTAATAGAAAGAATGGAGAGAGAGGCTGTCTTGGGAGAGAATGGAGAGAGAGAAAAAGAAACAAAAAGTGAATTCAGTGATGATTTAGGAAAGAAAAATTAGATGATGAGAGTGGGGGAAATGAGAGCGATGCCTCCGAGTTGTGTGCTCACACTCACACACAGTATATACACACACAGGCACACACAAACACAGATCAATAGGATTGGGTCTCCTGCTAATATTCTGACAAGCAAGACAATAGCAGTTTGTCCTAATGCTCATTGATCTGTATTGTGTGTATGAGAGCGTGCCTATGCTGTCTGTTGAGTGTGATCTGAGGTTCCATCATTCCTCTAAATTTCACACAAGACACACACACACACACTTCCTCTCTCTCTCTCTCTCTCTCACACACACACACACACACACACACACACACACACACACACACACACACACACTAATTCTGTTCCAGACTGACTGTAAAGATCAATGAAAATGGCATATGATAGTCTATAGAGTTTCATTATGGATCCTGATCTTGCTCTCCAGGGAACCATGAGACTAAACATTTGACACATGTTAAATTACAAACAATTACATATCTGATTGAGAATATTCAGATAAGCAAACTTCCACAGTTTGGACTCTCGAAATTTGTATGTGTTCACCTTTTAACTGCAGATGTCCCCAAGCCTCCCAGCTCCTGTCAGATCTCATCCAAATAACTTCTTTTTATACAAACTCCATCTGTGTCTTTGACCTTCCCCAAGTGCAGCGTTTAATCAAATGTTCCATAATTATTTCTTTCATCCTGACACCTGGAAGTAATTTCAGCAGGTTTCATCATATTATTCCAATATTTCACACTCTCCTAATATTGATCTTAGTTGTCTTAAATCATCTTAGTTTATGACCTCTTTTCCCACATAGGCCCCCAAAATCCTCAAATTCTTGAAAAAGCAGACATTATACTGTATTAATAAGAATAAAGTAAAAGAAATAAGATCGCTCCATAATTATTGTATATAGGAGCATTAGAAAATAAATGGATAGTTAATTTTAATTCTACATGTACACACTTAAATATATTTTATTTTACTACATGAAGATTTGAAAACATTGTATGAAAGGATAGCTGAGGCACAAACTAAAGCTCTCAATTTATCTGTATATCTTTATTCCGACCTATGGCCAGAACCCCTGGGTGGTGACTGAGAGAATGAGGCGGTAGACAAAAGGTTAGAAGCTCAGTGATGCGGGACGACCTCTGTGCAGAGCCACTTCTCCTCCAATTTGACAGGAGCAAGCTGAGGTGGTACAGCTGGTGAGGGGTGCCCTCTCTGTCCCTCCCTCTGGGGTTGTACCAGGCGCATTGCAACTGGGAGGAGACCCAGGGGTGGACCCAGAACACACCGCAGAGCCTAAAACTCCCAGCAGGCCTGGGATCACCTGGGGCCCTGTTGCCCTGGAACAGCAACAATACAGATAAATTAAATTACAAGTGAGAAAGAAGACTGGTTCACCGGCTGTTGGACACTTTGGGACTGAATTTATAGCCAGACTCCTTGAAGTATTACAATTAGATGCCTTTACATTGAAGTTCTAATCTGCATCAATTACAAAAAGTGGCTAACTCACTTTCAATCTATAATTATATTATACACTTTCCCACCAGTGTATCAGGCTTAATGATGGTTACCATTTTTACCAACACAGAAACAGAACTGAATTGAACTGTTGGTAGCTTTCTTCTATTATGTATATCTCAATGAATTAAATAGTTTGAGAATCCGGCTCCAATGTGTCTGTCTGGATATGCTTTCATCTGTATTTGCATACTAACACCTTTTCTCCTTGGCAGAGCTTTTCTATCTTCACTGTAAATGTTTTTCTCTCTTTAGCAGGTTTTCCGTCTTCCTGTTCTGAACTATTGTATAATGTATACATGTATTATCACAGTATTGTCACAAGATTTGTTCCACAACTCTTCAGTCTAGATTTTCAGATTCTTTTTCCTCTCCCTCCCATTTCCTCTCTCTCTATCCCTATCTATGCCCCCCAACTGTCTACCCCCCCATCCCTCCACCCTGCTTCCCTCTTCCCAGAGAGTTTTCCAAGGAGAGGGAGAAGGCCAAGGCACGTGGTGACTTCCAGAAACTCAGAGAAAAACAGCAACTAGAGGAGGACCTCAAGGTAGGCTGTAGGCTGTGCTTGATAAATTGAGCCACCTTCTGAAAGAGGATGTAACCTGCCACAAAAATGCACTGTATATTACTGTCAGGCTTTTCAAAAGGTGATTTCAGTTTCCTGTTGCTAAATCTGGCACTATCAAGGCCACAGGATAGGCAGAGTTAGGTAGGAATTAAGGCAACACCTTTTCATGTTAATACAGCTTTATTAAATATTGAACATCTTTTACCACTAGTGAGAAGGACGACCGACAGAATATGGAGGTCAAAGAGAAGTCCAAAATACCACCAGTCCCATGCAGCAAATATAGAATGCAGAGCAAACTTTATTCACAAGGCAAATCGAAGGAAATCAAAGAGACTGACAGGGATTTTAAATAATGTTAAGATACTGTAGTTGAAACTGCTGTATGTCCATACATCATCTAAAAGTGCCCAATAGAAAAATAGGGTACAGAAATTTTCGAGAAACATAATGAATAGGAAACATTTCATTGCTTTCAGTCCTGTCCTGTTAACCAGTCAGTAATTTCTTTATCTGTGTGTCTATATCCATATGTGAATAAAGGGCTATTTAGACTGGATCACTCAGGCTGAAGACATTGACCCAGAGAATGAAGAGGAGGGCATGGACGATGACAAACCTAGAAACCGTGAGTACTACAGTGTGTGTTTGTGTGTGTTAGACATTAAAATGGGCAAGAGGGAGTGATGATCTATTTGCTTACTGCAGTTTGCCTTGAAGATGACAATGCCTTTGTGTGTGTGTGTGTGTGTGTGTGTGTGTGTGTGTGTGTGTGTGTGTGTGTGTGTGTGTGTGTGTGTGTGATTTATGAATTGTTGAATGATGGTATTGTCAGTTAGGATTTTCTGTATTTTGGCTACAGTACGACTTTGTGTGAAAATGGATGGCCAGTTGTAATAATTGTGTTTATATCTGAATATGTTACGTGCGTAGTGCACCAAGTGAGGAGAACTGTGCATACGTGTGGGTGTGTGTATGTTTGTGTTAAATTTAGTGTTTGGTCTATAAGTAGTGAGCTCACTGCAGTCTCCATCACATGGTAGTGGCTTATAGTCAGTGAATGAACGGCTGACTTAGTGACAGAGTGACTGACTGACAGACTGAGAGGATGTTAATATTGTCTGCTTGCTTTGGCTGAGAACCCTCTTGAGGTTTAAAGCCTGTTTAGATATTAGTGGAATGTGTCAGACTGCAGCTAATAGCCTCTGGGCACACACTTGCATGCACACAACAAACACGCACACACACTCACTTAGGCAAACTCATACACACACACACTGTAGGTATACACCCTTAGGAGTGTGTGTACTTGTCTGTTGACAGGAATGTACACACACAAATTAACACCCTGTCTCTTTCCACAACACCTCCAGAGAAAGGCATCCACACATGGCACATCTCTCCCCAGGACTGAGCTACATTTCCAGGGGAGGGAGAGTAGAGCACTGGTCTCTTTTGACCTGGAGGTTTGAGCTCAGAGAAGATAAATAGAACTTGAAAGAGGGATAGTGAGAAAGAGAAGCAGGGATTTGACGAAAAGTGTGTCTGTCCTATTTCTGTGCATGTATTGTACAGTATGCACTGTGAACTATTTTATAAAGGCTTGGAGCTCAGCTGGCTCACACTGATGATAAATGAATGAATGATGCGGACTAAATATGCAGCGGCAGAGCATGCAATCTGCATACATTCTGCACACAGCGTGCTCATCTCCTACAAAGCACCGTGGCTTATTCTGAGAAACACTGATGACTGCCAAGGGAAGAAGAAAGAAAGAAAAAAATGATCTTTCAGTGAATCGCTAGAAATTAACATGGTCAAATGAGCAATGACCCAATTTGCATGAAAATAAGGCACAACACCCCTGTGGCTAATCTGTAACCTCTACTTGTTTTCACTTGTTACCGTTGTGCTCCTCTGGGACAATCAGTGTTGCAAAAACACATCAGCAGTGTCTGAGATATTGGCAAATTAACAAATAAACAAATACAGTATGTGGACTCCCAGTTGGGCCAATTTTGTAAAATATCAGCTCACAATATTGAAATGCTGCTTTCCTTCAATTTTTACAAATTTTGGATCAGAAGATGTTATGTCCAATGTCCACACAAGCCCAAGTTAGCCATAGTGTTAAACAATAAAGAACACAAGACTATTTACAAGTATTCAAACTAGATACCAGTCAGATGCATGATTCAGTCCACTGCTTTTACTAAACGATATAACTTAGGCCATTCGATTTAGATTATCTGACAAAATGATTGATACATATGATCCAAAGTTCTCCCTCAGAGAGATCAATCATCCCTCTGTTTTTGAAGGTGGAAAATCAAGTCACTTGCTCTCTTATTGCTCTGCCTCCCTCTCTCCTCGATGGATGGATCCTCCTCTGGGAAGATGAATGAGGGCAGTTTGTCCCTGCTGCCCAGGACATTTTGCATAGACTAGCGCACGCACACACACACACACACACACACACACACACACACACACACACACACACACACACACACACACACACACACACACACACACACACACACGCACATACACGTATGTCCTAAGAAGGGATAGGAGACTTAGAGAATAGAGGAGAAGATAGCAATGAGAGAGGTGGAAGGGAAAAAAGATGTTGAGATACGAAAGAGGGATATAAATGTATGGAGAGTGACAAATAGAGACACAGAGGGTATCTGGGACAGAGAACAGATGGGATTTCACACCACGAACAAGTCACACTAGTGACCACACACTCATACAGAAACCACACACATCCTTCAATGTGTCTATCTCTCACCCAGTCTTTACATGAAGAGCTACAAGGGTGTAATATTGATGTATGATGTGAATATAGAGTGTTCAGAAAAAGATAAATATTTATAGTCTTTGCTTGTGTTTTTTGTGTGTGACAGAGAGTAGTAGATGTCATTCAGTCTATTGATTTTGACTGTTTTTAGTAACAGCATGAGTGAGTGTGCATGTCTCAAAAGCCTTCAAAATATACAGGTTAATTATTTGTGAGGTTGCACTCATGACCAACACATACATACATGCACACATTCACTCAAATGTGGTTCGAATGGCGTGTTAGTCCTTTATTTATTTATGGATATGTATCATATGATGTGTTTCCTCAACGCATTTGTGTGTTGTGTGTGTTCCTGTCATCTCAGGGGCATACTGTATGTGTGTGTCCTGCATGCTCTCACCCTCTGCCATCTTGTTCTTGCATGCTGTCGTCTTGTTTTGGCATCCTGCCACTGCTGTCTGTGGTAGGAGTGTCTCCAGCCCACCTGGGTAAGAAGACCAGTAAGCTTGCCTGGTTCAGTCACTCTACTGACTCTCAGGACGGTATGTGTGCGTCTCTGTGTCGTGCGTGTTTGTGACATGTGTTTCCACGTGAATTCGGTTGTAATCAGGCATGTGTTTATATTAAAGTTTCATAGAATGATTGCTTCAGTTGAAGTTATCTTGGTAAATCTCAATGAATAAGATATAAGATCTAAAGGGCTTGTGGTCAAGATGTTTCCTTTAAGAGCATGTTGGAGGGTTTACATGTCCCATTTATCAAGCAAACACCTCGGGACCCCCCAGGATGACATGGAGAAAAAAACTTAGGTTCCAACTGTATGGATCAATAAGATAAAAGTCTTCAACATATTTAAATGAAGACCACTCTACTGTGTATTTCATGGTGATAGTAATACAGATGTGGCCGTATATGTGTTGGAAGTGTAGCTTGCATTTTGCTGCTACTCTATAGTAGATTTATACTCTATACTATAGATTTAAAATGTTTCCTATTTATTTAATTATTAGCATACTTCAGACTGTTGTCTTTGATGAGAGAAAATATTCCTTGATCTGTTTTTCTGTCTCCGCCGATGAAACTTTGGTTTTCCAACTTCTGCCATGATAAATATGTGCATTTGCCTTGAGGGTTCGTATTCCACAATACGAAACCTATTTGCGAGGGTTGTTGTGTTTGCGGTTTTGAATATGGTGGTACCCAAGAAGCTGGTTTTCATGTATCATTATCGTCTGCAATTTAGTCAAAGCTTAAACAATCTTTGTGTAGTGATTGGTTTATTTAGATGGATAACTGTATGAGCATGTGTGTGTAGCTGCGTGCTTGCATATATGTTTGTGTACTAAATGTTTGCTCAATTTCATGCTTCATATATGTATATGTATATGTATTTTTATTTATTTTTTGCTACTGTACAAGTATGCTTGGACGATCACATTAGAATTACTGAGCAGAATTCAACAATAGAGTGACCCCAGTATGGAGGAGCATGCTGATGAATGCACAGGCTCAGAATAATGTAAATAGTGTGAGAGGAAGGGGTAAAGTGGACAGGAAACAATAGCTGTTGTGTTGGCCAAGAGGAAGAATAGAGATAAGGATGGACAAATGTATTGTACTGTGTAGTGCTCAGTGAAAACAACACAGCAGCTTGCTTTTGAATGTTGACTTCCTCAACTCTCTAGAATATGACTCCTCTCAATGAATATCTTTTTCCCTCTTTCTGTTTCTGTCTTTCTTTCTGGTCTGTAATTTCCTTTTACCTTAGAGATATTAAACAACAAAATGGGACAAGAGAGAAAAAAGCAGTAATACAAGTAATACATCTCAGACTGTAGTTATAGCAGGAGTAATGAAAGGAGGTGTGACTATAAAGAGGCAATGTCATTATTGCAGAGGCAATCATGTGTCTTTGCAACAGGTTCTGTACTGTATGGCATTACAGCCAATACAAGTACACCATTATTTGTGTTTCAAATTGACAGTTTGTGTGCATTTTCGTATTTGTGCTGATTGTGAGTGCTTCTTTGTGTGTATCCATGCGTGTATGTGTGTTTGTCTTGCTGAGCCGTGCTCTCTATCCTCCAGGTAAGAACCATCGTTTTCAGTCTCTGCGTGGAGCCGTGAAGAAAAATGCGGCTTTCCTTCGTAAGGCGTGTGCGTCTGTCTGCATGGTCCAACACTAGTTAAAGATTTACTGGAAACGTGATTCTAGACATGCAAGCGGTCTGCACCCTCTCCTCTCCTCTCCTCTCCTCTCCTCTCCTCTCCTCTCCTCTCCTCTCCGCTCCCCCGCCCCTCCAAAGATTTAAAGCTAAAGGGGGCGGTGACTGCCTCTCAACACTGTAAAGCAGTTTCCTCTCACTGTCTTCCTCGCCCCTCTTGTACACCTTCCATTTAATACTAATCTAATTTCAAGGCCATATATATTAATATTCTCTCGCAGTGGAGACTTGGAAGTTTGCCACCAATTAGTATCCCTGCTGCGTGCAATATTGAATGTCTTCATTGCATTAAAACCTTTACCAAGTTTCATGGCCCTCAACTTTTAATTATGTGTAATCCGAAAGGCGAGAACTATCACTAAAGGGAATAAAGAGATAAGGAGAGGAAACATTGTTTCTGTATTGAGATGCAGCCATTATTTTCCTTTTTTAGGATCGTAGGAAAGGATACAGTTCGCATCTGCCTGACTTCTCTGAAAAAAGAGGACAATGTCATCACAGAATACAACTGGAGTGCGGTTTTCACGATGCACATGACAACTAAAAACATATGTAATGTTTGTGATGCCACAGTCCTCTCCTTGTTATTTCAGATTCCTTTCCCTAAAATACCCCTGCTTTGTTGCTAGCCATGCTAGCTCTGATAAGAAAAGATAATGGAGAAATAGCTTTAAAATTTGAATTTTAGCCTTTTTACCATTTTCACCAGGCACTTGCCATATTGTTGAATAGAAATGCAAGATACTGGTACTTCTTTTCACTAGCTTCAGCGATGAGTGCTTGCATGCTAACAAGCTGTTTATGGGTTATTTTTAATCATACCCAATACGATGTGACAATTGCCCAGTGAGAAAAACATTAGAGACTAAAATTCAAAATATTACATTATTGTATTAAACTGCATGAAAAAATGTTACAAATGTTCAAATTTTTTGAACAGTGGATTCACAGTATTTTTTGGTCAGATTGGTATCAAAAATGTGAACTGCTTAAACTACCTGAAAACGACTTCTGGAGATGATGGCATGGACAATTAATATCTGAATGAAGCACTATTTCAATATGTTGATACAGTCACAAAACAGAGTCGTACACAAACACACACACACACACACACACACACACACACACATTTTTCTCCAAAGACTACTGTAGTGAATCCTTTAATCATCATTTAGTTCACTACATTAGGGTGGAGTTTGCTTACTTTCAGTTCTATTATTTAATGCTTTAACACATTCACACATGCCAAAATTGGTAAGAATGACTGAATCCCTCTTTTGTGTTAAAAAGTGTTACCCTTCCGTGTCTTTCTCATTCCCTTCCTCCTTCCTTCCATTTCTCTCCCTCCCATGCTCCTTCCTCATCTTCTTCCTTCTCTCTGTGTCTCAGGTCTTTGGGGTTTACTCTAACAATAGGTATTAAACTAGTTCAGAGCTCCATTGAGGAGAAGGCAGCAGGCTGGTTTTATATTTGAAAGGTTTTAGCCTCGGGAGAGACTGGAGGACCCAGAGTGCTTTTAACTAAGTAGTATAGCAGCAGGTGGCACGTGTTGAGGTGAGGGGACATACAGCATGTTCACAGCAGAAGCCTTAACATTCAGAGAAACTATCCCAATCTCTGCAACACAGAATTCATCCAACACCAACCATGTGGCAAAGTACACTCTTCGCTCACTGCAGCTTACTTTGATTTATTATGTTAGCTTAGTGCTTACAAGCCAGCTTATTATATAAAACATAACGTTAAAAAAATATAGTCTTTTTTAAACCTACAAATGCTGCAAACCATATTTACTCATTTATATTGAATCCATTGCTAAAAATCTTTTGGAAATCTGCCCTGGGAACTAGGTTGGCCGACAAAAAGATATCCAAATGCTATTGTCAGAATGGCTTGATGACTGCAGCCCCCTTTTTAGCTCGGAATGACCAACTGCATGCTTGCTTTTCTTTGATTTACTTGAATGCTTATTGGTTTGGCACATCATTATTTTTATTCAAGGTTAGAGAAGTCATACATCACATGTTGTATTTAGATAGATTTGTAGATTGAAACAAAAAAGACCTCTCATCCTAACTGTTAATCATTTTCTTTGGTTTCATGCTAAGACTTTACAAGAGAAGGTTTTACATTTTTATCAGTGGATGTCTTACTTTAACATAATATGCATTGAGATTCATATGCAGTATCTGACTTTGGTACCCAGAGGGTGTTACAATAAGTGTTTGAGGTGACAGCGAGAGGAGTGCAGCTCATTCCCGCAGGCAGGCAAAGACTGACAGAAGCAATAAAAAGCAATGTATCACTTCATATCAGTCTCTTAACCAGCCATCCCCACATTCATCCATTTTTCCCCCTCCCTCAATCCGTACCTCTCTTAATGCCTCCATCAGTCCTTCCACTCAACCCCACTCCAGTTTTTCACTTCATCCTCCCTCTTTAACACTTTTCCATCCTTACCTGCCAATTCGTGTTACACTTGCCCTTCCTCTACAGCAGTTTCTGCCTCCATCTTGCATCCATCCTTCCATCTTTACACATCATTACACTTGTCTTTAAATAAGGACAAAGTGACACATTTGCAGTCTCCTTGTGGCTTTATAAACAGACAAGGATTGGGCTCAGTGAGCTTTCTACCTGTTTGCACATCTGCAAAAAAAAAAAAAAACCTTTGGAGCAAGGGAGTAAGTTTTCAGATGTTTGCATTGACAATGCTGTCAAAGCTCTCGCAGCTTAAATAAAGTTAAGAAAACATATTAAAAAGCATTTCAAGGTTTTTTCAAAACCTTGGCTGCAATTAAACTCCAACATCCCCCATGAGTTTTCAGACCAAAGACCAAAATCTTCCGCATGTTTTTTCTTTCAATTTCCATGAGCTATGAAACCACCAAAGGATTTTGTTAAGATTTAATTCACCCGCAGTTAGGCAATCCCTCAGATTAGAAATTGAAATCCATCTTAATAGCTGTTGCAGAGGTTGTATCTCAGGCTCCCTAAGTGGTAAATATTACTAGTATAGAAAATAAGTGTGTAATTACTTAATTTAAAAATGATGTCGAGTGCACCTCCTTATTACTTACCTATAGAAGACTGGATGCACTAGTACATTTATAAAGTTTAGAGCAAGCAATACAGTAAACGCCAGCAAAAGAATGATGTAAGTGAGGATGTACAACCAATTTCCTTATCCTGTTAATTCATCTTTCTCTTTCTTCCTTTTTCTGTTTTTCTTTCCACATCTGTCATCTACTTTTCTCTGCATTTTCTCCTCTCTGTTTCTCAGTGAGCATGCCGGCCAGTGAGAATGAATCAGTCAACACAGACAACGCCCCCGGGGGAGACGTGGAGGGGGAGACCTGCTGTACCCGGCTAGCGTAAGTCCCTTCTCTCATACACACCTCTTCTCCTCCCTCTATCCCTCAGCTCCCTCAGTCACCTTCTGTCAATCCCAAGGATGAACTCTTATCTTGCATCTTTCCTGTATTAGCACTTCAGTGTTAGCTATGGTACAAGTGGCTTAGCCCGCCTCTATCCTTTACTGATCCCACAAAGCCAGACCTCTGTCTCATCAAGCTTACAGAGGTTTGGAAGAATTCATGCTGGAAACGCTGGTCAGAGGAGTGACAGTGGGTTGTCTTCTTACTTTAACTCAAATTTCATATTCTCTGATTTAAAGAGACACCTAAATAGAGCTGCTGTTCCCAGAGGCGTCTTCATTTTCGGAGGCGTTTTCCCTAAAAATCTGTGACCTTGATGAGACATAGGTCAGACTAAGAGGAATTAATCCTATATTAAACCACCATGCCTAAACAACCACATTGAAGTCTGAAGTTGCCGGATCTTTCCTTAGCTGAAAAATTGAAATTAAAATGTTTTTCATCTTGCATTTGGGCTCATTTTTAATATGTAAATATATATTTGTCATTGCTATCAGAGGAAAAACTTGTATTGACCAAAAGCATACTTTTCATACTGTGTTATTAAGTTGAACTAGTTGGGTTATGAAAAGGTGTCACATCACAGTGTCACAGAACCTTAACCCAAATCATAAATAAAGGAATAAATTCAGAACAGAAGTTCTGAATTTGCCCATTTCACAAGGTAAACATGACTTTTGACTCGTGGTGTAAAGAAAGCTTGACCATTGTTTGGAATTTAACAAAAAGTAGAAAAGCAGGACATGTATCATGGTTACATCTCAATAGTAATCCAGTTTTATTTCCTTTTCTTCTCTCCATCTCTATTCTCTCTCCTTCGTGTGTTTGCTAGTGAAGTGCTTTCCTCCTCCCCTGTGGGAGCTCATGAACAGCTGACTCACTCGCTCCGGCTCCCCCTTCTCCTTTCATTTTTTACATTATTCAAACAAGTGTGTTGCTTTCTTTCTTAGACACAAGGCCACGCAGGAGCCGTGACCCCAGCGGGCCCACTTTAGCACACACAGGCACAAACACACCTACATACAAAACTGTTAATATCTGTGAACGTAGCAGAATAGAATAGAGAAAGTTACAGTATCAACAGTTTAGAGGTGAAAACTGAATCAAAACACTAAAGCCAGTTGGCACACTTGGATGGCACACTGTTTGTATTCTCGCTGTCCATCCTTGTCTATGTTATGTTGTTTGTGTTTATTTGTCCCCTGTCAGACCAAAACAACTTGAAACAAAGGATATGTCATATCTGAGTCTTCAGGAGGTACCACAAACCCAACACATAGTGCTTACTGCCAAAGAAAAGTTATTCTGAAACCATAATTTCGCTACAGACAAATTAGCAATTTGCATCGGTCCATTTGATGTATTACGCTAACTAGCAGGGTTGGGCTGCAAGATATGATTATTTTCGTACACATGTGCTGGCTTGCTCAATTCAGTTTGATACGGCGCACCAGCCCAGCACAGCAGGGATTTGCATTTCCACAACAGCAGCGCTGCAACAGAGACAGAAAAGCCGCTAACATCTGCTACAGTGACATTTAACTTTCTATAAATTCGTCACTATAAAAGTCTCCAGTTATTTAAACACGTCTATTATGAAGCAGCAAAACCACGAAGTGTTGGGTTTTCATTAACAGTAACGTAACACGATTCCTGTACAGCTGATAGCAAACATGAAAGAGTCAAATAAAGCAGATATCTGAAAGTACCAACAGGGATGCAGGACAGAAACTAAACTTCAAACCACAGAGATTGCCCCTTAGAAGCAGGTCGGGCATTTTGTCTATGTTATTTTGTGTATTAAATATCAAATATTTAGGAAACTAGGTAAAGGTTACATTTTATCTACTTGTGTGCCAATAAACATCTTGGCACAGGGGGTAATTTTCTCATTCATACCTTCTAAAAGGGCTGCAGAAAAAAACCTCATTTGTAAGTCTACAGCATCAGTCTTGCTTTTTATTATTCACGAAGGAACTCCAGAATTTAAACCTGCAATTTTGAGTCTTACTTAAATAAGTGACTTTTCACTGTATTCCGACCTAACGTGTAGTAAACCTTGCCAAGACTGGAAATGCGAGCCCTCGTCCTCCATGAGACTAAAACAAGTTTGGCTAGGGGCATTTGCTCACACTATTATGAAGATAAAACTTGAGACTTTCAGTGTTTGTCAGTTCTTCTTCACATTGCTATGGAGACAGACCTCGGGGTAGGAGCTACTTTGGCGCTCGCTGATCTCATAATCGAGATGGACACATGGAGAGAAGAGACGTGTGTACTGTCAGCCTCCATATCCAGCCAGTCAGTCATTTTATTCTTTCGTTCAGTCAGTCAGTGAGTCATTTCATTGCTTCAGTCAGTCGGTCAGTCAGCCAGTCAGTCAGCAGGTCAGTCAATTCATCGGCTTTTACAGACAAAATCAGTGCGCAGTTGCTCACAACAACTCCCTAAAAGCTTCAAGAGGACTCAAGTGTTTTTATTACAGTATGTAATACTACTACATTTTCTTTAATTTATTTCCAAAATTAATGTAGAAGCAATAAAATTTTATTTAATTTCAACAGTTACACCAATACTCTAATTAACCAAACATTTGTACTATTGTGTGAATCTGGTTTGGTTATCATTACACAACCCTTGGCTGAGAGAAGAGCCTCAGCCTGTAAACTAACCAGCATGTGGTTGGTGTGATAAATTAAATTGCACATTAAAGTTACAGATTCAGCCCCGTGGTCAAATCATTTCATCTGAACATCACAGATTGAAATAATTTGATATGTTGTTGATTCAAATTTCCACAGTGGAAAAGTTCTCTTCTGTTCTGTTCTGTTCTGTTCTCTTCTCTTCTATTCTCTTCTCTTCTATTCACTTTCCAGAGACAATGTCTTCCATAATCTCTTGTCCTTAGTTCTTTATGTATGTACTTTTTTCTGTTACAGTGGTGAACAATCAACAGACGTTTCTATTAATGAATTGTGTATGATCACACCAGGGCTGATTGAAGGAATCCCAAACATGCAGCATTTTTTTCTTTTGATTGGATGCCACTGTATACATGTTTGCAGGGGGTGATTTGAAGAGTTGGGTGGTCATAATGAGAAGCTTTTTTGCTGGTGAAAGTCCTATCAGACCCTAAACTACCAAATGTTTAGTTGGTGATACAACAGAATTGTGTATCAAAGGTGCAGAAAATGCTGGACACACAACAACGTGATAATGAGGGAACCTATTTCCCCTTTATCTCCTTCAAATCACCCCTTTCATGTTGTGTATCTGTCTATATGTGTGTTATGTGTGTGTGTGTATAATCCATTCTGTTTTCTGTGTTCCAGAAATAGGATCTCCAAATCCAAGTTCAGGTTAGTACATGTTGTTTACCATAGTCCTTCAATTCACCTGCTCTAATGTCTCTATTGCTGTGGTATTTGTACGGTCGCTGGATGTGTGTGCGTTTCTTGTGCACACGTGTACACAAGCACACACAGAGACACTGACGTAGCAATAGATAGCCTCACTCTTTGAGGGAATAGTTCAACATTTTGGGAAATATGCTTACTTTCTTTTCATCTTTTCTTTCTCCTTCTCTTGGCAAGAAAGCAAATAAGTCTTTCCCCCAAAAGGTCAAACTATTCCTTTGAATTGTTAAAAAAAATGAAGTGTATTGTCGTCAAGAGGGACAGAAAAATATAGTGTTTTCGAAAGGTCATGCATATTTTCACAAATTACAACGACACTAAAAATGACATGTCTTTTAATGTAAAAATGCATGTCCGCTTGTGTTGTGTTGTGAGTTGTGTCTCATGTAACATTCAGTGTGTGCATCATGGCAAAAGCCGCTGTGTGCCGTAACTGACTCTAAACAGCTCACACACACTCAAACAGAAAACTGATAAAACATGAATTTTGTATAGGCAGAGAAGGGAGAGCACTTCCCGGTGAGCCATGTTGATCTGTTTGAAACGAGGCCTTGCAGATACACGACAAATATCCGTGCAAGCAGGTTTGGCGTTGTGGGGTGCCAGTGGAAAAATAATAGCTAGACACTCACAGCAGAAAAAAAGATTAGGGCAGTTGTGGTCTGGATTTATTTAGTTGTTATAAATAAAAGCAGATTTCTTCTGTGATAAATAAAAAAGTCTCGGCTCAGTCTCAGTTGTCTTACAAGGAGGTTCTTTATTACAGCACTGGTGCCAGGAAGCCCACTTCACACAACGAATACAGTTTAGGTGTCAGCTTGACAACAACCCTTCCACAAGCCTAGTTATACCCACACTGCCAAGGTCAAAGAAAGGGGCCCTTCATAGCTATTATATCTTCTTCTCTAAACATCCAAATCCAGCCTGAACCAGAGACACCCCAAGGTCTTCCAATTTTTACAACTGAACAGTCTGTTAAGTTGCACGTCAAATGTTGCTTTGAGTTATTCAACAGATGATTTGACAGTGATTCAGCAATTTTACATATATATTTCAGTCATTTTCTACCACAGTCTGATAAACACGTACTCTTTCTAACTTGAGTTACTGTGAAAACGTGTGGTGCAGTGTCTTAGCAGTACCAGAATTGTTCTGGACCTTCTTATTTTTGTTTTAAGGCAGTCTATCATTAACAAATTATTGTCTCCTCATTAACGTTTAAGGTAATTTGGAGTAGATTTCTGTAATTATACGTTGCCATTTTGCCACTGTGCAAATACTGCCACTCCTACAAATACTACTAGTGGCTGAGATACCGCTATATCAGAACAGTTGCACACATGTTTTGTGAAATTTGATTCCTCCCTCCAAGTGTCCCTTGTGACATAAACATGTAAAAGTCTAAAGTGAGATTCATGCTTCTCTGCTTCTGCAAGATTAGAACAAAAACAAGGTTTACTGTCATCAGGTCTTTCGGTCTGTCTCATTATTGTTGAATCTCAGTTGTCTAATCATTGGTACACGAGGGCGTAGGTAAAACAAATGGCATGACCCTTTAAGTGGACTGGTTCACATAGATGTGAGTGCGAGGCGTGAAGCTGCCAATTACCAGAAACAGTAACTTTTATTTTCAGCAGTAGAGGTCAAGAAAAGTGCAAAAAGAACTTGTTTACAACACAACACAGAACAACAGAGTATGGCCTAAAAAGAAAGAAAATGTGTTTTTTACGCTAAAATGAACCACTTCTTCTTTTGAAACATGAATTTCCCCTTGAAGTGTGAATCACAATATTGCACATTTCGTTTAAATTTTTGCCTTCAGTCATTTCGTAGGAATAAGCATTCCTTTTTTTTTCCTCAAATGGTGCATATCTCGTGCTGCTACAAAGCTCTTCATACTGGCTTTTACTTGGTGTGAAACGTCTTTGAGGATGACTAACTGTTCCGCAGCTCTGCTCTCAAACAACAGACAACCACAGGCCAAGGGGTGATGTCATCACTACTCTGTAGACAAACTAATTGACTCTTTCTTTTTCTTCTCTCTCCACCGCTGTTTGCTTTTCACTCTCTTCTTCACTTGTTTCGGTTGATCATACTTTACTTTTTTCTTTTTTTTTCTCTTATGGGCCCTCGCTCTACCTCTTTCTTTTCTCCTTTGTCTGCCTTTCTACTCCTTACCCTCTCTCTGCTACTTCACCTCTCTCTTTGACCCTCCCGCCTTTCTTTCAACTCTTTTCCCACATCCTCTCCTTTTTCCCTACCTCCTCCCTCTCTTATCTTTCCTCACCTCTCCATCTCTCTCTCTCTGTATCAATCTCTGCTTCTTCCTCTTCAGTCGATACTCTCGGAGGTGGAACAGGCTGTGTAGGAGGAAGTGCCGGGCAGCGGTCAAATCACAGGTTTTCTATTGGCTGGTCATCTTCCTGGTTTTCCTCAACACTCTGACCATCGCCTCTGAACATCACCAGCAGCCTCAGTGGCTAACCGATGTACAAGGTACACAAGCACACATTCTTGTACACACAAACATACCTCTTTTCATTCTGATTGTAGCTAAATTGTTCACTTTTTTGCAATCTCCTTCCTTTTCTACATCTCATATTTTGCCATGCCTTGTCCCTTTTTATTCCACCCTTATTTCCGTTTTCCAATCCCTGCCACTTTCCTCTTTTCTTTCCCCCTCAGACATAGCCAACAAGGTGTTGCTAGCACTCTTCACTGGTGAGATGCTGTTGAAGATGTACAGTCTGGGTCTGCAGGTAGGTGGCTAACAGTAATGTTAGTTTTTTTCTATAAAAAATGTATTTTTCAGTTCAGTCAGACAGTAAAGAAAAGTGTAACTTCCATTCTTTATTCTCCTGTACTTGCTAACTTAAATTTCACTTCTCTCTTTACTCTCCACAGGCATACTTTGTTTCGCTCTTCAATCGCTTTGACAGTTTCGTAGTATGTGGAGGAATTCTTGAGACCATTCTGGTGGAAACCAAGATCATGTCTCCTCTCGGCATCTCTGTGTTACGTTGCGTACGCTTGCTGCGAATCTTTAAAATAACCAGGTTAATATGGACATTTTTAAAATTGAATTATTGAACAGGGTTTTGCTGACAGAGAGTGTGTGTTTGTGTACTTTTGTCCTTCCACACACACATATTTGAAAGTCACCTACTGCTGTACTAGACAAAGAAAGATAATAGCAACTTTTATATTATGAATTGTCCTCATGATGCCTCTGTTTTTGCCCATACACATATATTAACTGGACGTCCCTCCCCCAGATACTGGAACTCCTTGTCCAACTTGGTGGCCTCCCTGCTAAACTCTGTTCGCTCCATCGCTTCCCTGCTGCTCCTGCTCTTCCTTTTCATCATCATCTTCTCCCTGCTCGGTATGCAGCTGTTCGGGGGAAAATTCAACTTCGACGAGACCCGACGTAGCACCTTTGACAACTTTCCCCAGTCTCTGCTCACTGTGTTTCAGGTAACGATACTCCAAATGTCCCTGGTCTATTTTCTCTTCCATCTTGTTTTCCATTTGCAGTTTGTATCCATAACATGATGATCTTTGTCTCCTCTGTACAGTACAAAAACGTTTGTAAGTCATCTAGTATGAGTCTTACAATGAACTGTACTATATCACTGTCACAAGGGTGAAAATTCCTTCCAATGAAAATCTACAAAACTCTACAAAGATCTTCATCCAGAGGAGATTTTTATACCATTTCTTTCTTTCTCAGATCCTAACAGGGGAGGACTGGAACTCTGTGATGTATGATGGTATCATGGCATACGGTGGACCGTCCTTTCCCGGGATGCTGGTCTGCATCTACTTCATCATCCTCTTCATCTGTGGAAACTGTATCCTGCCATACGTAAAAACAGCTATAAAACATAGCTATAAAGCTATATAATGTGAATCTAAAGGGATGTGGAGGTATTCTGGAGGTTACTGAGTATGTCTACTCAAGCAGCTGGGAGTTCAGTGTCTTTCAGATGCAGAAAGGTTGCTAATTATTCACTTATCCTACCAGGATTGTTTGCAGCCAACCACGCTGATGATCTGATGGGTCAGCAACATCCTTAACTTCACCCCTCTGAACAGATATCCTCCTGAATGTCTTCTTGGCCATCGCTGTGGACAATCTGGCAGACGCTGAGAGCTTGACATCCGCACAGAAAGAAGAGGAAGAGGAGAAGGAAAGGAAAAAACTGGCCAGGTAAAGCCGAAAGAGGAAGAACGACAGGTGAACAGTTAGCTGAGGAAAAGAAAGGGAGGAAATTAAAACATTTTTGTGTCTGACCCACACCAGAGAAACTGGTATGGTAAGAGAGGGAGTAGGGGAGTTTGACCAATCTCATCAAGGCAGAGGTTTAGCTTACAGCATCCTAGATAGTCAGCAATGCCCAGAGACAGAGTGCTGAAATCAAAGCAATGAAAATGCTTCACAATTAGAACATGAACTATTAGGTTTTAAAGACAGGCTGACATTTGCCTGCTTTGCTTTTCTGTCTAAACAAATTTAACTGGGTAATTTTAGTGTCTCATTGCCTACAAAGGTCATTTGTCAACAATGGTAATGTTAGATTTTAGTGCCACTGAGGAGGATAACATTCCCCTCAGTGGCACAAATCATTAAATGTCTCCTTCTTGGTTGCAACCTGTATTGATCTGAGGAAAAAGTGTGATGAAAAACAACCTGCTTGCTCACTATCCTTTTGGTTTAATTATAACATCACAGCCACCCACTGTGATTGAAATACACAGTGATTAAAACACATATGCTAAGTTTTTATTCTGTCTTTCTGGCCTTAAATTATGCGATTTGAAACAAATCTGTGGATTAATAAGGGGCTAACAATGCTATGGGTAGCACAGGGAGAAAGATGCTAAAGGTGAGGATCTTCTTTTCCTCCTTCTTTCTCCAGGTTGGCCAGTCCAGAGAAGCGCCATAACAACGAGAAGCCGCCTCTGGAGGAGGAGAAGAAGGAGAAGATAGAGCTGAAGTCCATCACTTCTGATGGAGAGACCAACACTGCTACTAAGGTACACAGAGACACAAACATATCAAGAAGGACTAAAGCCACAGATTTAAATAAACGCACAAATGAGCAAATGTGTACGTAGTCAGAGAAATTAATGCATTGGCAAATGCTCTCCCTCTGCAGATTAACATGGATGAGTACTGTGGAGATGAGAGTGAAGAGAAGAACCCATATCCTGCCAATGATTACATAGGTAACACATGAACCAGATTTGTGTACAAAGGTGCAATTTTTCCTTTGTGTGACTTTCTGCTAAGGCACTCATACTTAGAGACTTTAAGCTCCAGTTTTCCTACTTTTTCACACCACTTTATATCCTCTCCTATTCTTTCTCTCTGCTTTGTCCCTCTTTCTCACTATTATCCTTTTCCTCCCTCATATCAGGAGACGATGACGACGATGAGCCAGAGATGCCAGTAGGCCCTAGGCCACGGCCACTCTCCGACATTCAGCTGAAGGAGAAGGCCATTCCCATGCCCGAGGCCCGCGCTTTCTTCATCTTCAGCCACACCAACAAGTAAGAGGCCTTCTACCTACCTAATTTCTTCCCCCTCTTCCTTCCTCTCTGATGTTTCATCAGCTCTCGGGCTGTTTCTCTCTGTATTTTTCCATGCTCTTATTTTTGTGAAAAAAGACTCAAATATGATTCTCTCTCACTCTCCTTAGATTCAGGGTTCTGTGCCATAAGATCGTCAACCACAACATCTTCACCAACCTCATCCTCTTCTTCATCCTGCTCAGCAGCATCAGTCTGGCAGCTGAGGACCCGGTCAAAAATGACTCTTTCAGAAACCAGGTAACACAAATACAAAAGAAAACCTGTCTTAAAGTGTCAATACAGTATATACACGTAAAAGGCCAAGTGTACATTAAGGCATGGACAGAGGCATTAATAGTCATCATTAGTTGCCCACACACATTCATTCTTTGCTAAATGGATTATAGCCGACAGCAACATATAGAGGAACCAAAGCTTATTGTGACTGGCTGGTTACACTTAATGAGATTTCTTCCAGAGTAAAGCAACTGTGATTAACTTCATGTTAAGAAGATGTGCAATGCCTGTTAAGCTTTGTTTTGTCAATTTAAATAAATTTTTTTTCACTTAATATTATAGTATCTGTTATGTACGCACACGGCAAAGAATTATATTATTTTTATTATATTTTTATGTTCAGTTTAAGTTACACACACGTGTATTGTCAGCCTTAAGCCAAACTCTAAATACCCCAAAGCATGCACTATTTGCACTGCAGTTGCATACACTAGTAATTGTCACCATATTGTTTATATATTAATGTTGTTTAGTGTTTGATGTGTAATTTGTGAGCTGTAGTCTAGTGTAAAGACTGATGACGATGTGTGCTCTATCTATTTTCTTCTATTTAGTTTCTTCTTTCATTGAGCAAAACAAATAAAGATCTTTTTCTTGTATTTTTCCTTGGCTATGGTATATTAGTCTACCTCAATTAACCTTCGTCTGAAACTTTAATGAAATAATATATCCTGTTTTTCAGATTCTGCTCCATTTTCAAAGTCTATTTAAGTCAAATCGGAATTCATTATCCTTGGACCTGAACCTCAGCATTATTATTTCAGTATGTTGTGGAGTCATCCAGGACTCTGCTACAGTTGAACACAAGTTCAGCCAAAGGATTGCATTTCCTCCTGTTTTTCTCTTTATTTCCACTGTGTAAACAATTTAGTCTAGAAATAGTTGTGTTGTTACAGGTGGAGCCTAAAAAGTAACAAGAATGCCAAATCGTTTTTTTGTTGAGTTGTTGAGTTGAGGTTTTGAAGGTTGCTGAATGGACAACCTCAGCTCAGTCACACTTTTATCATAGTTTGTTATTGTGGCAAATACAACTGATGACATAATGCCTCATGATGTTTCCTGCTCAATCAGAAAGTTATTGGGCATGAAAAAAACTGTGTAGTTTTCAATCCCAGGAATGCTTTTTGTGTATCACGGTAATAGTATCTCTAAACTGAAAACAATGATGCTCTTTGTTGTGTTTTCAGATCCTGGGCTATGCAGACCATGTCTTTACTGGACTCTTCACCATAGAGATCATTCTTAAGGTAGTATCTAATGTTTATGATGTAGGGTAAATGGGACATATAATCTGCAAATGCTACAGTATGAACATTTTCCACGTATAAGATCGAGAGATGAAGAGACTTAAGTTTTGCTGCTGACAACAATAGTTGATGTTTGATGTGCCTAGTGACAAGGCGTTGCTGCATCAGGGCAACAACAATTTATTTATTTTTTAATAAGGTTAACGTTCATTAAAGTATTCGTCCTTGGCAGTAAACACTTCCTTAAAGACAGTTAAAACTAATACTTTCAGATACTATTTAATCCCCGATCAGTGTTAAAGGTAAGGCAGTCAGTATCTCTGCCCTCTGCACGGTTCAATATCCTAAACTGTGATGTAATCCTTCTTTATTTGACTCTCAAATATGAACTTTGACCCCTACAGATGACAGCCTATGGAGCCTTCCTCCATAAAGGGTCATTCTGTAGAAACTATTTCAATATTCTGGACCTGGTGGTGGTCAGTGTGTCCCTCATCTCGTCTGGGATACAGTGAGTGCAAGATAATGTTTTCTGATGCATGTTTTATACTGTTTTTACTGTTCCATTATACTGCTTTAGCATTTCAGTCAGACTTTTGTGCACTGATATTACCAACATTATTTGGCAAAAATTCCAATCGATATCACCAGTGAAGCTTACAATATCATCTGATAAGCATTTACGTTATTACATGCTAAGAGACTGGACTAGATAATGACAAGTACATGAGAATCTAGTCCAGTCCAAGAACTAATAAATCATGTTGTAAAGTGGCTAAGTGGGGAAATGTTTTCATTTGTAAACTGCCTCCTGCTTCACACTTCTCTCTATTCTCTAACAACTTTACACTTCATTACTCCCAATCCCCTTCTCTCTTTGTAATGTTTATTAAAAAATGTTCTCTGCTTCTCGTAGCAAATAACTCCTTGAAATGCTGTGATATTTTCTGATGTTTAATATGCTATACTACACTCTCTGTCTCTAATGCTTAATAGACTAGACTTCTCGACGTAAGTCCATATTAGCCCGTATTAATAACCCCCTTAACAGACCTTCACCTTAACTGTGTAAAAGTGTCACTCTTTTGATTTGGTATTTCTATGGTCTTGGAGAGTTAAGTCGAAAATCAAGACTGTAATCTGTGATGTTATCAGCAGTTGTAGTTTAGTGGGACAACACTGTATTGATAATAAATGGATGATTTGTTATTAGTAACAAACAGTATGCTTTTACGCTTATAAATGCTTCTTTACAGGCATCAGCATAATTAATTTTGAACGAGAGAATGTTTTTATTAGAAGGGGGTAAATTATCCTGGGTCCTCTAATACTGTAGTCACTTTTCATATCCAGTAATTGCTAATAAGTTTGTTTATCTATTCTTTGTGATAGATTTGGGGCCAAGTCAAATTCACTTCTAATATTTGTGCATAAACTGAACTCTCCCAGGCTATAGAAATTATACCTGAATGCTAAAACTTAATGGTTTTTGCCTGTTAAAAGTAGTTTGTGTGTGGGATTTTTCTTGAATATATCACAGTCAAATTAATTGTGATGCTGTTGCATTTAGAAGTAAACTGTAAACTGCTTTTTACTGCAGTTCCAGTATTTGCTGTACCTTTGCTTTGAAACTCTTTTGCTATTGTTACTACCCAATAATGAAGTATCTCCCTGAGATGTATCTGTATCTTTATTTATATGTTTCCATTTAAGTAACAGTGCACGTTGAAATAAAGCTGTAGGAAAGCAGGATGGAAATGTTTATGAGGAGGTCAGTAATTTTAATATGCAAATGAAAACCAGTCCTGAAGCAAATTACAACATATAACCACATCAGATGTTTCTGCTGTCATCCTGGACAGCATGAAGTATGGCAAACATTAATTCACATGAAAGAACTATGGCAGAGTGGCCAATATTATATCTGGATGGAAACAGTGTTTTTGCTCTAGTTCGAACTAGTTAGAATCTGGCGGCTTGCAAGGAGTATAACAGGTTCACCATTTGCCTCAACCCAGTCAACTGAAGCACAACTATATAATATAATATTTTTATAAATGTATAAGTTACAGTCAAATTTTAGTTGACATGTATATGGATTGTACTGTCACTAGATATCTTCACAGCTGGTTTAACTGTGATATGTTACTGATAACATCCTACTCCACATGAACTACCTTTAACTTCCTTTAAACTTTACCTTTCTGTGTTAAAAAGTTGCGCAACAGGTCTTTCCCTTACTTTCTGTTTAAAAGTCGACAGAGTAATGTCACTCCCTTTAAATCACTCCTTTAACCATCTAAAAAGTCACTCCCTTGAAAGGATACATTGACATTTTGAATCCACTTTTTCCTTCTACCTTTGTCACACTATGGGAAAAAGTCTTTGTATTTGTTCTTCAGTTAACTGAATGACTGGCTTATTAGCTTTTCGCACTGAAATTAAACGTCAAAGATACTGGCAAGCTACATTTTTAGCATGTTATATACCTGTTGACTTTTAAGTAGTAATAATTACACTTAAGATTCCAATAGTTCAGATTACTGAAGCACCAATGTCAAAGCTTTTTCCAAACATGTATTGTAAAATTCAAAATGTCAAGGTATTCATTTAATTCTTTTGGTTAGTATGTAAAAGCTTTTCTTTTGAACCACTTCCTTTAAAAGGTCACACTGTTTGACCTTTGGATTGTACTGACACTCTCTTACAGCACAATAACTCTCTGTTTGCCTGTAAATGTCTGTTTGTGTCTTTGTGGTGGTCCATCTGGGTTGTACTTGTGTGTGTTTGTCCATGAACCATATGTATTTGTGTGTGTTGCGTGTATTGCACTATATTACATACACACTTTTACTATGATTTACTATCGTAGCCAATTTATGTTAGAAAGGGAAAACATACTGTCTTGATAGACAGTACTCTTAAGATTATTAGAGGAGGTGCTATCAGTCAATGAAACAAACATTTCTAAAGAAGTAGAGTATACAATAATTGATAATTAGTAGTAAAAAATGGACTTAACCAGATTTAGTAATGTGAACCTGTTCCAATCCCCTATAAAAAATGTGAGATATTATTAAACAAGGGTAAGAGTAGCTTAATTACATTTTGTAAGCCAAACTTGTCTCTAAAGAGAATCATGGCTACTTTCATTCATTATTTGTTTGAATGTTTTTAGGATTATTTTATATCATACTATCTTGATAATTTTAATTTCCTTAGCTTGTGTGTGAGTTGTCTTGATCTCCAGTTTCTTTCTTTGACTCATGCTGCAGTTTGTGTGAACAATCTTTAACACAGATACTACTGAACGTGCCTTAGGATGTGTGTTGTTCCTTGCAAATATGTCTTAACAGTAAAATATGTGTCAGTTTGACTGGTCAGCAGTTTAATCCCATGCGTGTTTCAGGTCCAGTGCAATTAATGTGGTGAAGATCCTGAGAGTTCTCCGAGTGCTCAGACCTCTGAGGGCCATCAACAGAGCCAAGGGACTAAAGGTTAGAGCACTCACACATATAATCATACACACATACTCTCTTCCTAACAAGACACACCCATGTACTCATTATCATATTTGGTGTGTTTTCCAGCATGTCGTGCAGTGTGTGTTTGTGGCCATCAGGACCATCGGCAACATTGTCATCGTCACCACGTTGCTGCAGTTCATGTTCGCCTGTATTGGAGTACAACTCTTTAAGGTAACAAATAAGAAAAGAAGGAAAGAAAAATGGAGGGGGGTCCTAAACCTCATGAAATGTCAAATGTCGTAATTGTGCTTTTTCCGAGTAATAAATATTTATGTTTTTCTATCAGGGCAAGTTCTTCTCCTGTACCGACAGCTCTAAACAAACTCAGGCAGATTGCAGGTAAGAGATCCCTCCTGCACACAAGCTTGTTAACTCTTTGCAGCGTAACTACTGGATAAAACACGTGAGTGTGTCTGTGTCTACTTGCATTTACAGAGGTTCCTACATTATGTACAAGGACGGTGATGTGGGGAAGCCTGAAAGAGCCCAGAGATTGTGGGAGAACAGTGACTTTAACTTTGACAATGTCCTCCAAGGCATGATGGCCCTATTTGCTGTGTCTACCTTTGAGGGCTGGCCAGGGTGTGTATCTACATACAGACACAATACATGTATATATTGATCTGCATATTGTATATATTGTTCACTTTTTCAGTTTGTCAGCAGTCTCTTGGTATCCTATCCTATCATTTCCGTCCTACAATCTTCATCTTCCTCCTTTCCTTCAATGAATCTACCTTCCTTCTCTCAGGCTACTGTACCGAGCCATAGACTCTCATGCTGAGGACGTCGGGCCCATCTACAACTACCGCGTAGTCATCTCCATCTTCTTCATCATCTACATCATCATCATCGCCTTCTTCATGATGAACATCTTCGTCGGTTTCGTCATTGTCACATTCCAAGAGCAAGGAGAGCAAGAATATAAGAACTGTGAGCTGGACAAGAACCAGGTACTGTTTTTGTATTACTGAATCTGTCGATGCCTTTGTGTGCGTTTAACTGCAGTTTTATGCTTTTGTTCAGCAGCAAGATAGACATGAGTTTTCAGGTTACAGTATAAGAATGACTGTGCTGTTCTGACTGAAGTGGGAAAGTCACTTTGTCATTCAGAAGGCACAGGGGAAAGGGAATGGAGGCTAGACAGTAGGGGGTGAGACATGGGAGATTCTGGACTGAGGCTGAACATGAGTTTTAGGCGGTGAACTACTTCAGGAGTCCAGCCAGGAGGGAGCTGCTGCAGTTCATACAGAAGATGAGACTGAAGCTCAAAAAGAAGGAGGCTAGGCCAAGTCTCTGCAGCTGTGTTCTCTGTGATGATCCATGTCTCACCAAGAGCATGGAAACGCACGGAGACGATGTAAGAATAGTCTGGGGTGGGAAAAGGCTTTTTTAGACTGCCAGCTTTTCCTCCGTTGTCTCAGTACAGAGAGACAAAGCGATGAGGAGTTGGGGAACTACATCACCAGACAAAATTTAAAGGCAAACGGCTGTGTTTGTGTATGTTCACATGTTGGTGTATGTGTCTGTGTTTGTCTTACAGCGTCAGTGTGTGGAGTATGCTTTGAAGGCACGTCCATTGCGACGCTACATCCCCAAGAACCCCTACCAGTACAAGGTGTGGTATGTGGTCAATTCCACCTACTTTGAGTACCTGATGTTCACACTCATCCTTCTCAACACCATCTGTCTGGCCATGCAGGTGAGTCTCATAGATGAATGCAAGCACACACTCACAACATGGGGAAATATAATAGTACAGGCATTAGACTACTCCCAGTCTTTGCAAACACTAATGAGTTGTTTATGTGATTTTGCAGCATCATGGTCAGACCATAAATTTCAACGATGCCATGAACATCCTCAACATGCTCTTCACCGGACTCTTCACTGTGGAGATGATCCTTAAACTGATCGCCTTCAAACCCAGGGTAGGTCCACTTCTCTAGCTGCAGAATAGAATAGCACTCTTGAACAGCACAGTAGAGCAGCATAGAAAATTGTATCTTCTGCATTCAGTAGGTTGAAGGTGAATATTTGATGAAATAAATGTCAAGTCTAGTTATTACTACTAATACAACATACAACTAATGGATATAATAGAACAGTAAAATTTATTTTAGCCATTGAATCCCATTGGTTGCAAATAACTGCTCACTGATGTTGAACTGTATATTCCCCATTCCTGTTTCATTTACTCCAGTTGATAATTATGATATTGTGGATTTGAAATGTGATTAGTCGACGGCATCGTGTGTTTTTTAATTTCACTGTTCCCTTGTTACCCTGCTGTTGTTGCTATGTAACTATGTGTTTATATTGGTCCAATCTTAGAACTTCCTGGTGCATCAGCTATTTAAACAATAACAGATGGGGATTTTTCCCCTTATTACAGCCGGGTTGGTGGAAAATCCTTGCACACAATCAATAGGGAAAACACAGTTTAATATTATATTTTTAGTCTTATCTCTACTGTTGCACCGTACACCTTGTAAATCAAAAGATTAGTATAAGAAAAAAAAGTTTCCCAGGTATTTTAGCATTCTATCCAGGATAACTTGCAACAGTACCAGTGTCACTTTTACACATAAGGCTCATTATAACCATCATGACTAAATTCAAAATACCCCAGATTTAAAAAATACCATTATTTTTAGTGTGTGGAGGAATTAATTTTACTTTTACTTTCTTTATTTTATATGTGAAGTTAATTGCTGGAAGGTAGTTGTTAGAATTAATGAATGTCATCCACAAATATATCAGTATTTGGGAGCCAGGGTCTTCTAATTAATAATTAAAACTTCATTTTGTTTTTTTCCAATTAGCTCTAAAATACAAATCATGTCCTACAAAATATGTCCTTTTATTAAGATGGATGACAGATGGTTATCTTGTAATACCTTTTGAAAATAATTATCTACTTGGACCAATTAGTCTGAGTAACATAAGACATGCTTTGTAGTATTTTCAAGCACAGACAGCCCCAGTTGGAATTCACCCCCTAACTGTGCAGGACAACTTTTAAGGCTTGGGAATTGACTTCATGCTGTGCTGCATTATGTATGTAATGTTATATTATGTTCACCTGAAGACAGGCTAATTTAAATTGCCAGATTTGTTTTTATGAGGGTTTCTCCAAAAGAGTTGTGAATCTTAAGAAAATATACAAACTGATATCTGTTTTCCTTCTTTCATGAACTCTGGATCTATAATAAGTTAGAATAAGTGCAGCATGACAACACATTCCCAAGCCATATTGAACAATGCTATATATAAATAATATGGAATAATTATTATAAAAATATTGTGTGTGAGTCGCAACTTTAGGATGTGCCTTGTTTTCATTGGTTTTGCTTCAATAAACTCTTTCTTTAAACAGCTGACACACACAGAGGACCAGCTCACTAACACTTTTACTTCTCAGGTGTTAACAGTCGTCAACACACGTGGAATAAGCTCCAGTAACATTTGCTCTGTTGAAAAGATGTATGCTAATGCCTTTTAACTTTTGAACAGGTTTCACTGTCTCCGCCTTCTTCAGTTACTTATGATTTTACTGGTTGTGTTTTTGTTCTGTTTTTTTCTGAACATCTGAGCACATTGCTGAACTTACTGTTTTAAAACTGAGGTGTGTCTACATTAGTTCGTCAAATAAATTGAATCACTCCATACATCAGCATTTGGATACTAATGCTGAGCGCTGTTTTACTAATGTTTAACTCCGGTTTTACATTAATATTCTTACAAAAAGACTGTCAGCGGGTGCAGGTGAATTATGGCACGAGGAGTTTTTGCTTTTTATGACGATACCTCAGCTGCTGATGACAAATGATGAAGCTTAAAATAGATTAGTAAGATTGATCTTCTCTCAGCATCCCTCTGTAACTGACAATTTGTCAGTTTTATGCAGTCCATTGGGTGGGATTTGTTTATGCATACTTATTTAGTTAAACAGTTATTTTGTAGGTTTACTACAGTGTAAAATATGACTTCCAAAAAACTGAAAGGTTGAGGCCTCACATCTCATTATCCAAACAGTGATCCTTCTCATTTCCCTGCTCTAACTTCCAATCATATACAGTAACAAACAAATTTCCTCTAATGAATGAATAATTGCTAGTGTACAGTGGAAACACAATCAGCCAGAATCTGTCAGAATCAAATGTCATTCATTTTCAGTATATGGAAATGTCTTCTGAGAGGTCCATGTGGCCATTCACATCTTGGCGGTCTTAGTTAAAGTACACTAAAGCTGTTTTAAAATACAGCTCTCTCCTTTTAACATATTTTTATTTTACCAGCCTAGATAATACTGTTTTGGCCTGAAGCTATGTGGATGTTTTTTTTATATATAAATACTCACTTTGTACCGCTGCTGATGATAAATTACCCACAATAAGTTAAGCAAACAAAGTGGGCTTTCAGTATAATCACTGCCACAGCATTGTTGAATCGCCCCAAGATGCAAATGGTAGACTTTAGTAACTGCTATCTAACACGCCATCCTTAGCAGAGCAGGAAATTCAGCTGCACGTGATGAACAGATACTAGATACAGATAAAGGAAACAAGTTGATTATGATCATTAGAATTAGAATTAAATTTGTTCATGTGTTGGGTCATCAGCTGATTTTTCTATTTCCTGAGTGTACTGTACAACCTCATACCACCTTAATAGGGCTGCGAAGTAGCAGCAGATGTTGTTTTCCTTCTAACGTACCTTTCTTACCCTCCTCCTCCTCCTCCTCCTCCTCCTCTTGCTCACCTCATCCTGTGTAGGGGTACTTTAGTGATCCCTGGAATGTGTTTGATTTCCTCATCGTAATTGGCAGCATAATAGACGTCATTCTCAGTGAGATCAACGTAAGTACGATGCCCACTCTCACTCTCCTTGCTGCTCTCTCTTTCTCTCTGTCTTGTGCCCTCTTGCTTCTTCTCAATCTTTCATTTCCTGCCTCTCTCCTTTCCTTTGTGGCTATTCTGTGTTGTGCTGTCTTTTCTCTTCATCTCTCTTCCTTCTTCCTCTGCCTTCTTCTTTCTCTTCTTTCTCCTCCTTCTTCTCTCCCTCCATCCTTAACTCCAAGATGGCCTCTGCCACTCAGGGGACCCTCCAACCACAAGGGTTCCTGAGCAAGAACAAGCTTCTTCCTGGGCGTCATAAAAAGTAGTGGGGACAGAGGCAGGGTTTTAGCTTTGAACACAAAGGGTTTCTGTCTCGCGTCCTCCTTCCTTATTCCTCACAGTATCTCAGATGTTGTCGGGTTCTTGATTTTTTTTTCCACTTTTTGTCAGACTGTGACATGTCCTCAGGTTTGATTCCCTCACTAACTGAACTAACTCACTGACCAATCACAAGCAGACACACCTTTTCATTTTTTAACTACAGCAACAGGGGCGTTTTTTTTGTTGTGATTTTGTTGCAATTTGTTCTTTACTGTTGTTGTTGTTGTTGTTGACATTTTCCTCTCATGGACAAGCATGACCGATCGCCGCTGCTCTTCCTCTGCTGTCCATCTCTTTCAGACTGCCCCTTCTTTTCTTTTTTTGCCGTTTAATTTTGTTGATTCTTTCCCTCTCTCCTACTAAAATCTTCAGTGCTCATGTATATAATGTTTTTATCTTATTTTTCTCCTCTCTCCTTTGATTTCCGTTCTTTCCATTTTTTTAAATGTCTTATGTTCTGTCCTTTTCTTCTGTTGTTTTTCTGTTCTTTCCACCCCTACGCAGCATTATTTTGTTGATGCATGGAACACATTTGATGCCTTGATAGTTGTGGGTAGCATTGTTGACATAGCGATCACTGAGGTTAACGTAAGTAGTCCAACTCCCTCCCTCCCTTCCTGCCTGCCTGCTCTGCCATTCCCACACACACAAACAGACCGAGTGCCGATACCCATCTCGCATGCTTTCAAATGATTAGGAAACTTCAGCCTCACCACATCTGAACTTAAGAGACGGCTGAAGTCTGGCAGTGCAAACAGCCAGATGTAGAGCAATCAAAACAGAGCACAGTGCCCTCTGAAGGGTGCGTATAATTTAAAACATATGAAACACTAAATTTAAAGTTGTGCTTGGAGAACTTTGACATCTAAATAATAATTTGGCCATTATCAGTTTGACTTATATTGAATATGTTGGCTTCTGGGGGCTAAAAATGATCATTACTTACTTTATTACTTTTTTTTTTTTGTTGAAATGTAATTTAATGGAGGCTGCACAACAGTTCTCGATGTTCCCCCTCCCCATGCCTGCACATTTATCTTCAGCAGTATAAGAAGGCTGCAAATAAAACTTTATTTTCTTAGTTTAATTCTTATTTTGTATATATTTCCTGATATTTGAAACTGCTCCGGATAGGTATTCATGCCTTGGTCTGCTGAACATCAATAGCATCAAAAACTATTGCATTTGCCAATAGAACCTATTGCATTGTCTCAGCACTTGGTTTGAGTTCACATTGGTTTATTTGATCTTTTATCATTGCCACAGGGGATAGTGTCCATTCCCCTGGCATGATGGACACTGTATAGCATGACACATATAAAGGTGGTATATCCAGGCCTGGTACTTTATATAATGCTTTCAGAAAATATCTATATTTCTGAAAAAGAAAGATTTTCTGGAAAGAAGGAAGGAATGCAGATTCTCATTTTCGAACATCGTTTTTTTTGACCCAAGGGTCATGAAACTCTCTCAATTCATAAATCATCAGGGAAACTTTACATTCAAATGAGAAAAATACAAGTTGCAGTTGCATTTTTTTGTCCAACAATAGCAATGTGCAGACATAGAGAACAATTTGATCCATAAATGGATTTACTCAGGACCCGTGAAATTTATGTAAATGTATGTATGAATTCATTTATTATCGACGTGGAGGCCCTATGGTCAACAGTGGGGCTGAATAAGAATGAATATCCCAAACACAAGTCAAATGTTGAGTGTCTATCGTATTTACACTTCAGGGATAATTGGTGTTTTATTCATGTGATATTCAAAGCACTCTTTGGCAGAAGAATAGTCTGAGAACCATGCAAACTGCAAAGTGTGGCATGACAGAACTCCAGTTCATTTAGCCTTAGAAGAGGATAAGTTTCACAGTTTGTGCTAATTTTCCAGAAAATAAAATCATTTTGTACCATGATCAGACTGGCCAACAAGCTGAATGTCACTTAACAAAAACATTATTTATGCTGTGAAGGAGCTTTTTGTTGGAAAGTCTATCACTTAATTTCATTCAATGCTTCAGCTCAAGTCTGCAAAACTTTTCATCTCCAGTGGCAAACATCCAGTTAAAATGCCTCAGGGGACTGACTGTAGCTCAAGGCACAGCTTACAAACTGTTGGTTTCAGTTTGATATTTATCGTATAGACATAAGAGTTGTATCAAGCTTCTTATCTAACTCTCATGAAGAAGGTTTCCCAAAACTAATTCTTAATTTGTTTATTTTTCGTTCACAATTTATGCTGTATCTTTACCCACATCCATAGGTTAGACTGAGACATTTATGTATTTAGCTTGAAGAGTTTTTGATTATGTCACATTAATCACAGATATATTACACACAAGGATCCATATTAAGTGTAGGTTTGACTGAAATCCTCTAACCCTCAACCAGATGGCTGGTTTGAGGACGTGAAGCAGAGAAAAGATATGCACACGGGTACACCAGTGTGTTCCCCTATGGTGGAATGCAGTGTGTTTCTCCTCAGACAGCACTGGTCAGGCATACAAATAAGGTTAGTGTATCCCAGGGGTGTATGAGCTTGGCAGTTGTTTTCCTGCCTTTAGAAAGGGAATCCATTTGTCCCCATGAGAGGCTGACAAAGCCACTTATAAACAACACTGGGTAATTTCCAAACTGTACTTTTTATTCAGTTATTCTGTCTAGTTATTACAGAAATTATGAATTGATGTCAGGGAATCACAGAAGTATCATACATCTATATTTCCTGGCAGACAATGAATTTATCTGATGTTATAACAAAGTATACGCGTGTACATAGAGAGATAGGAGTATGTAAATACATAAAGAGAAACTTCATAAAGCCTGACAGAGCAAAATAAAAATCAATTTGGACAATGACATGTCTGTTGGGAACTGCCAATATTTGACCACTGATCGATTAGCCACCTTAATACTGAGGTTTGTTGGGCCAGAGATATACATCTTTGTCATCTATACAAGTCACTGATGTTGCACTTAACTTTTTGGTTTGGAACCTGTCTTTGATTTGGTTTGATTGATTTGGTTGATTGGTTTGCAGTTCTTTCTGAATGATTCATTATTTTCCTCTCTCACCGCTAACCTAAAGGCATGCCCCAAGTCTTTTTTTTTTTTTCCTCTTTTGTTCTTCTTCTCTGGTATTTTTTTTAATGATTTGGGTGATGAGATGCCCAAGCTACCTTTTCTATTTGTCTTTTTTAAGAAACCCTCCGCAATTCAAACCTGTGAGAACTTTTGACTGTTTTTGACATTTTAGATTTTAGCCTGCTACTGCATTTCATCAGGCACTAAAGCATAAGTGAATGCTTTTTAACGTACTGAGCAATGCAATTAAAAAACTAATAGTAGCAGCTTGCCAATAACTGCCTCTCTTCCATTGCATTTCTAAGTACAGAGTGAAGTGCAGTAACAGGCCAGCTTTTAAAATGTTATCACTTTGCCTTTAGTAAATATTAAATGGCCAGAGAAGCCCGTTTGAGTGCACCCACTTCGATGCTTTGCTGGGTGCCTGTTGACTTAGATTAGCTGCATTTTTTGTGGTCTCCGAATCAGAATACTTTTTAAATCCAGGGTCTCTAATTCTTTCCAGCAACCTGCGGGTGCTTCTTAAATCTTACATGGTTTCTTTTACATTTTTGGTTTTGGTTTGAGTAGAAGTAGTGTGAACAGATTGGTAGTGGTTTGCTCTGAGCGGTGTCTTGCAGACGATGCCAGTATGGACTGCATCTATTTCTCTTTTTCGTTCTTTCTATTCGGAATGCCTCCTCTTCTCCTCTCCATCTCTCTCCTCCTCTTTCTGAGCTTTTTTCGGTTCACTTAACTCTTCTTTTATGGACGTTTATCTCTCTCTCTCTCTTTCTCTGTCTTCTTTCTCGTTGGTTTGCGGTGCTGCTTGCTCACCTGAAATGCAAGCTGGGTAACATGGATCTCTCATGCTTTTCATATACCCTAAGAGGTCAACCAATCTAAATATTTGCTATATTTTAAATTATTGTAATATTAGTTTGTTCTGAGTTTTTAATCCCTGCACATTAAACATTAAATGGGAATGCACTTTATGCTGCAGTATTACAAGCCATCAAAATATGAATCAAAGAAAATAAATAAAACGCTGCATAAAGCTCAAAGCTAGGGTAAGGATGTTCTCAAGAAACCCATGTTACCTATTGAACTGACTGAACTGATGAAATTTTTGCTCGAAAACATGATGTGCAATGTGAGAAAGCAGCTCAAGTTCATTTTAAATGAGCTCATAAATCCAATGAGCTGCAACTGCAGTAACTCACATCTGCACTGTAGTTCTGCCTGAAAGGACTTCCGTATATTTATTCACAAATGGACTGTTTTGTTTTTCTACTGAATTTTATGGTTAAAATCTCACGCAAAATGCACGCATCCTCCAGGGCCACAAGTCCACTGTAGTCTCTGTAATTTGTTCAGTTTAACTTCATAATGAGAAATATAATAATGAGGAATCATTTGAGTTTAATCCAATTCTGGTTCACATCTTTGATTTCACATAGAAATTGAAGCAAATTCAGCATTAAATTACACTTAAATTGACCCTAATGGCCCTTTGTGTAATTCACACACACATATACACACAGACAGACACAAATTCTCTCATATTTCAGTTTTTACTTACTACACTGAGTGTGAATCAGTGCCATCTTCCCTCCCTGCGTCCTTCCTTTCTTCCTTCCTTCCTTCCTTCCTTCCTTCCTGCCCATCTTTCCAATTCATCCTTTGTATTCCCTTTATCCATCACTCTTCCCTCCCTCCTTTCCTTCCTTCCTTCCTTCCTTCCTTCCTTTCTACAGTTGTCCTTCCTTCCAACTTCCCCTCCCTTCACACTATAATGCCGCAGCTGTTCTCATCAAACATGCGCACACACACAAACACACACACACACACACACATATCCTCTCTTCACGCACTCACACACTCTCTTCCTAAAATGTTCACATCAACAAATGATTAGTGTCCTTGTTGCAAGCCAGTTAGAAAAGTGTTAGAGAACATTCGTTTTAATACAAGTTTATAAGTATCCATTGTACTTGATAAAACATAGTAACCTATCACTCTGTACATCCTTATTGTGCGTGATCATAAAGTTTTGTGTATGGCTCCGTTAGAATTCCTTTAAATGCTTCATTCCTTCCCTCTTTTCTTGCTATATTCTCACCTTCTGTCCTCCTTGTTTGCTTTCCTTCTTTTGCTCCTAGCTTTCTCCTTTCTCTAGCTTTTGTTGCTTCTTTCCTACTTTCTTTCTCTCTTTCTTCCTTCAAAGTTTATGTTACTTGCAAGCCTTTCTTTATTCCAGGAAAGATTGGGAATAATGAAGCATTATTTTGTGGTATGGTATTATAACAGGGCCAATACCAAAGCAGAGTGAACCTCCTGAGTCATAGATTTAACTACTAGTTAATCTATCACTCCTAGCGGTGTAAAATGTTGCAGTACCAGGGACACCCAGTGGGTGTCTCCCTAAAGTATGTTATCTTTGTGCCTCTCAGTGTTATGTAAATTACTTGTGGGCTCCAATTTCCAAAAGCATCTAAATCATCTTCAGTGAAACTAATTGAGATGATCTTAACTTTCTGACTTTTTTATTGTGGTATTCTGATGCCTCTTTGACCCGAAAGTAGATTAAAGTTGTGGTCTGGTTGGACCACAAACAACATATATAAACAAAGGTACTTGATGTATTTATTTCACAAGGTCCAAACCATGTTAATTTCACTTGGATCTTTACTATTCTCAGCTCAAAGAACGGCTTGAATAGCACATATTCAAAGGAGGCATTGTTCTTTAATGCCAAGATGTGTTTGGTAAACGTAGCCTGAGTTAAGCCAAAGCTTCAACCACTGTTACTGTACTGTAGCTTCAGCTGGCAGAAAGAAAAACAGATAGCCACAGAGGCGCCCCTCTATCCCCCATCATACACACAAACCCATGTCCTCACTTGACACAGTCTATGCTGCACATAGACACGTACACATGCAGCTGCCCAAGACCATTATTCATTATTTTGACCTTCAAGGCGTTGAACAGCAATTGCCCAATATCTTACACGTCCTATATGTTTCCAAGTCGTAAGTGATTCAGCCTGATGTGGCCCTCACGGAGGATGGGGCCAGTCTCTATATGCAGTAATATTTTACAGAATTCTCCCTCCTGGCCCAGATGAAATTATTTCCACCACCTAAGGGTTCATCAGAGACTGAACCCTTACTAGCATGGTGGTTTGTGAGTTATTTTTTGTCTGGGCTGGTGCAAAATTCTCACGTAAACAACCCTAAAACACACACACGCAGAGTGACACACACACACACACACACACACACACACACACACACCCCAAGGCGCTGCTCTGGTGCTGATCTTTGTTGCCTTTCCTTAAAGCCAGCTGACTCCTCCTCGTCCTCGTCCTCCTCCTCTTCGTCCTCCTCCTCCTCCTCCTCTTCCTCCTCTCACCCCCCTGCGGTAAGGCCAATGGTACGCTCCGACGGTAATCTCGTCCGCCTCCCTACCTCCTCCACCATCCCTCCATCCTTCCATCCTTCCATCCCTCCTTCTGCTACGCCATCCATGGTATGGTCCAAAACTTTTGGCTTTTCATTGGTCCTGTCAACTCTTCTCTGTCGCTCCTGCTGTCATCTTCTGCAGCATGTCCAGATTTATATTTATGTACCTGTCGTTTGTACTTTTACCTGTTTTATATATATGTGTGTGTATGATGAAGGACACTGTATTGTGCAGGCCAAGTGTAACTGGAGTGTTGTGACTTTCCTTGTGTGGCTATTGTTGTTGCCATGGCGCCCGTTGCCCCCACCTCCCCCATGGCTTGCAACTTGCTCCCTCTTCCCTTATGGGTGTGGTATCTTTTAGTGCTTTGTCATCGGTGCAAGCCATCATGGTCACGCTGTCACGCTGTTTCTCTTTCTATCATTCTTCTACACTGGCCTGCCATCTGTCTATCTATCTATCTATCTATCTATCTATCTATCTATCTATCTATCTATCTATCTATCTATCTATCTATCTGTCTGTCTGTCTGTCTGTCTGTCTGTCTATCTATCTATCTATCTATCTATCTATCTATCTATCTATCTGTCTGTCTGTCTGTCTGTCTGTCTGTCTGTCTGTCTGTCTATCTGTCTATCAGTCTATCTATCTGTGAATCAGTCTATTTGTCTGGATGTTTCTAAATAATTAAAACTATTCTTCATATATAGACTCTCTCCCTCTCTCTCTCTCTCTCTCTGTTACACTTAGTGTCACTGTACTTCTCCCGCTCACTGCCCCCCTCTCTCAATGGTGCAATGGTCCCCACTGTGGTCCAGTTGTGGTATTACATGCAGTACAGAATTTTGACTTACACTCCTCAGAACGGTCATTTTCAACATATCTGTAACTGGAGTTTGGGACAACACATGTCTTGGGTTACTTGTCAACACTGCAGCAAAAGTAACATTTACCCATAGGAAGTACCCAAACTGTTATCCCAGAGTTATAGAATAATAGATTTGCTATAGAAAATTTTAGAAACAAGATAACATAATTCCAGCATGTTTTATGTTGAAAAGTAACATTTGACATCTGTTATCCCAAACTACAGTAAGAAATGTGGAGAATGGCAAGTTCATTTTAGGAGCACACTGTGTTTTCTCTGTGGGATTAGCATAAAGAATTGATGGCCTCTTGGAAAAACACAAATGGCATGAAACAGATTTAGAGGTCAGACAGGATGATCTTGTTTTTAGGGTCACATTTGATTATTAAAGTGAAGACAGATATAGTGTGGCACTGCTGTGGTTGTTATGTGGTCAAGTGTTTTCTATGCATACTGGTGCATTTATTTGGAAGAGTGTAGTTAGATGTTAGTATGTTAGATGTTTTCTTGTCATTTTTGCATACTTGTTACTGATGTTCATCATTGCTGATTATTTGGTATTGGTATCTTTGTATGGCAGTTTTGCTTGTATTTGGTTTGACCTGATTCATCAGCTGCTTGTGGTATAATTGTGATTAATATACTGGATCCTTAGTTACTGTGTTAACTGCATCATGCTTTACACAAATCCTGATGTTGCCATTGTTTTTCTGTCTTTTTGTCCCTGAGAACGAGCAGCAGCATAAATAAGTAAATCTGTATTAGAATAGCACTCAGCGAGATGGCTGAATATTTCATCATGGAGTTATTTCCTGTGGATGAGTACTGGGACAATAGACAGTTTGAAAGCTACAGTGTATTTCAAGCTTGTACTTCAAAGCCTTACTAAGGTGTATTTTGAATGAAAGTATACCAAATAAGGAAATCTTAAATGCCTCGAGAGGCAAAGTATTGCATGTTCATTGCAAGACGCTCTGCAAATAAAACACTTGTTTCTAGAAGATCCTAATAAACAAGAAGTGCAGATGATCTATTTGATGAAAATATTTTACCTGGCAGTGGCTGCACTGGGTAGTAATATCTTTATCCACCTGAATGTCATCATTGGATTGTTTCTCTCGGTGGCCAGTTGTGACAGACAAACAATTAGACTGCCTTATTGAATGATTTATTGAAACAGGAATCCGCCTGCAGGCTAGGATTTTCGTACTGTATCTGTTGTGAATTGTTATCAGTGATTTATGAAAGAGCTTAGCTGCATCAATACAGATGTCTCTGACCTGGTCTCTAGCTATTAGAATTTTAGTCCATACCAGTGCAGGATATCCAAGTCTTTCAGCTTAGTAAGATGATTTACTTCAAGGTCTCCTGGAGTATTTTAATTCTTGTTCGTCAAGTGTCATTGCAAGGCTGGATTTATCTGTAATAGGTTATAGAAACCCAAGTGTGTGTTCTTCACCTTGATCATGACAGCATAGATGTGAGATAGAACAACACAGTGCTGTGATTTAAGAAACAGTAGTATCAATAAAGACTAAGGGAGCCATTTTTAGTTTTGATGGTTCAGTAAGGCCTCTTAGAGTTAACTGCAAGTAACTTTGAGTTGTCTAATTGTACAGTTGGACTTTCCTGTTATATAGAGGTTGGAGCTGATTAATTTAGGGATATGATGGATAGTTTAATCTCTTTGTTGCCAAGTGATTTTTCCATGAAGCCAGAAAAATAAGCATGATTGCCCGATTCTCTCCCAGATCTCTTTTGTCAGTTGATTTTGATGGGATTTTCTAGGACGCAGATTTCCATTTATTAACTCAGTGTGTATGTGTGTGTGTGCGTGTGTGTGTGTGTGTGTGTGTGTGTGTGTGTGTGTGTGTGTGTGTGTGTGTGTGTGTGTGTGTGTGTGTGTGTGTGTGTGTGTGCGCGTGTGTTCTATACATATTTACATCCACATATATGTGTGGGTGGGAATATGCATACAAATGTTACTTGTATGTCTGCATTTCTGCATTTGTCTGTGTGTGCATTTGCATGTGTGTATGTTCGTATGATCATCTTTACCTGTGTGTGTGTGTGTGTGTGTGTGTGTGTGTGTGTGTGTGTGTGTGTGTGTGTGTGTGTGTGTATGTGTGTGTGCGTGTTTCCCTCCCTTACCTATCTGCATGTGTCCCCATGCGTCCTGTGTTTTTTCTAAAAAAACACCAAACCCCACCAAAAGGGACTGCAGAACTCTGAAGAGAACGCCAGGATCTCCATCACCTTCTTCCGGCTGTTCCGCGTGATGAGGCTGGTGAAGCTGCTGTCTCGCGGGGAAGGGATTCGGACCCTGCTGTGGACCTTCATCAAATCCTTCCAAGTGAGGGGAGAACCGGACACAACATGCTAGAGCAGGGGGTTGGGTTTACACAAGATAGAAAGGAAAGCTTTAACCCTAATGTAACGCAGATTAGAGCTTTTTTTTGGAGGCCATAGTGCTATTTTAACTACAGTCTATTACAGATTTTGCAGTTCAAACTTGGCATAGTAATTCCCAAGTTTATTTACCATATGTAGGTATTAGAATGTCATACTTTAATTTACTTTAATTAATCCAGAATAGACCAGTTTAATGTTATTAATACTTTGCAAACCATTTAGTAATTTCAGATCTGAGTCACATGGGGCTAAAAATATCCTTGTTCTTGTGTAAATCGACCCTGGTGGAGTCTCACAAGCCACCTTTCCTTTCCTTGCCTCCTCCCTCCTTGTCTCTACCTCCTATTTTTGCAAGAAGTCAGACGGGTGGGACGTCGGACAGTTTAGATGGGGACGGAGGAAAAGAAAGAGGGATGGTATGAGGTAATGGAGAGAAGGTTTGGGAGTCTTGCTGCAGAGGCAGGGAGGGATGTAGGGACACAAAGCTGGGAAACAGGCAGGAACTCAAGAACCTTAACCAGCAATCTTTTCTCTCCTCTTCCCTACTCATATCTCCTCTTCTTCCTCCACTTCTTCTACTTCCCTTTTCCCTCCAACACCCTACTACTAACCCCTGAAAGCTCACCATTCCCTGTAGGCGGGTTAAGCAGTAGATAAGTTTAAAGAAGCACTCCACCAAGAAATTAAATCATTTGATAGAGAGTTATAGGGAAAAGAAAATAATCTGTTTTCTCTCTTGTGTTATGTCAGATGGGCCACTTCATGAACAGTACAGTCACTGAAATTCATTGAAAATACATTGGTGATACAGCAAAAAATAGACTTGTGGTGTTACATTTTAAATCAGCCGTGGTCATGAATATATCACTGTACTGTAACACAAAAGCTTACTGTACCCTTTATCCTTATTTCATTTTTCAGTGGATTACATATTGAAACATAATCAAACTTTTACTTCATCATGATTTGGCCCTGCTCTCCCAGGCACAGGGGTAATGTTAGCCAGGAGCTCAGTTCCACACAGTTTCCCAGGTGTGCAGATACAGAAGACATATCTTTTCTGGCCATGTTTGGTTCTTGCACAATACATTGGGGACTGGCCTCCTGGCTAAACTCAGAGAACAGTTTATGAATTTACTGAGGTTTTTCACTCCTAAGTCAGATGATTTGTCTTGGTTTGTTTTTGGTGTTGTGCCACACGGGGCTGCAGATCAGTTCACTTTTACTTCATAAAGAAAAGATAACTTTTTTAATATTTCCCCTGCTAAATTGAAAAAACAAAAAAATACCTGTGTGAGGTCAATCACCCATTTTTAACAATAATTCCCCCAAATAAGTTCTAGACTAATTGGATGTGTGAAGTTTGAATGAAAGTGAATGGACTCCAGCCTTGGTGCAGGATAATACTGTCAACTACTTGTCACTGATATGTCTCTCTCCTCTTTAGGCACTGCCCTACGTAGCTCTGCTTATAGTGATGCTATTCTTCATATACGCTGTCATCGGCATGCAGGTAAGCTGTCGTCATAGCCCCTTGTTTCCCTTCCTTTGTCGTGTTTTCTTCTCTCTCATCCTCTCCTCTAGCTGGCCTCCGTCCTGTGTCTGTCCTCCTGGAGTCTTGTCATCCAGAGTTCCTGTTCGGTCATGTCGTCCTTCTCTCTTCCACTTTTCTTCCTCCTCTAGCTGTTGCCAGTTTTTGTCTCTCCTCTTCCTCTCTCTGTGTGTCCTTCTGTCTCTCCTATAAGTTGTTTGTATCACTAATGATGAGAGGGAGACACTTTTGATTTGATTTTCTGGGGACAGCCGGCCTCTAATTTTGATTGCCCCAGAGAGAAATCCCTTCCTCCTGTCAATGCTGACGTCATATCCTGTGTGCTGTGACTACTTCCTTCCCTCCGTGCAGATGTTTGGTAAAATAGCGCTGCGGGACCACACGCAGATCAACAGGAACAACAATTTCCAGACGTTCCCTCAGGCAGTTCTGCTGCTCTTCAGGTAAAGAAGATGCCACTTCTCTTCTTCATTCTTTGTATTCTTCCTATTTCTTTTCCTCCTTTCCATTTCTCTTAATATGTGCCCTTTGTTCATGGATTCAAAGTCAACATCTTCTGCTCTTTCTACAATATCATTCTGCTCTTCCTGTCCTTCCTGCATAATCAATTTCTTAATTGTCACTTCAACAACAATAACTTTTCTTTTTCCTTTTTGATCTCCTATATTTTCTATCGTCCATTTACTATTTATTTTACATTAGAGGTTACCACTGACATTTTATGACAGCATCGGGTTAATTAAATGCCAGGATATCTTTAAATGTCAAGCTGTAAATTCAGCTGACTCTGTGACTTGACTCTGCATAAGAGCCAATGTGGGAAAAAGTTTTTTCAGTTTGTACTTTGAAGCCATTTTACTGCCAAGAGTTAAAAAGTTCTAGTTGTAAATATGTAGCAGTGAGCCCCATAATATCACCAAGTATCTGACATAGAATCACCAGTTACATAACAGTGTTATGAGCATCCAAACTCTCCAATCTGTACAGCTGTATGCTCACTGGTTTGCTGATAATTGTTGTAAAATGTATTCTGATTTATGCAAAATATTGTGGTCCACTGAGGAAGACCCTTCAGTTGTCAGAGGTCTGTACTGATAATACATTTAAACAGCCTGGATCCGGTCTCAGAATCCTCTCTGTCCCGTGTGGTTGCGATAATGGTAAGATTCCATGCAGGAGACGAAAACCATAGAAACTGAAAGAAAAGATTGTATAGAATAAACTATGGTATGGTTTTTGCCTTGTCATTAAACCATAAAAAGCATCTTTTCTATTCATTCCTTTTCTATGTATTGACTCCTTCATGGAATATATCATAGCAATGGGCTTCCATTCAGAGCAGCAGCCTACTTGGATACTTCATACTGCTGTATAATTTAAATCTAGCAAAGCCCTCCAACAATGATCACCTGGCAATACAGCAACTGCAGAGTTGGAAAGCTTAATAGTACTGAAGTATTCAGAATGGAAGACAGTAGTTTGGACAAGGTCTTAATCTACAGCTCAGAAAAAGCAAACATAAAATCACATTTCTTTGCTGTTGCTCTGTAAATTTAGTGTATTAAGATATATTTATGATATGGTGCAGTTTTTGGTTCTCTATGTTGTTCACACTCTTAACACTTGTGCATATGTGTGTGTTTGTGTTTATGTGTGTATGTGTCTGCCTCTCTCTGTCTTTGTATCTATGTGCGTGTGTGTCGCTATATGATTGTATGCCTGTATGCATACATGCACACATCCATGTGTCTGTATGTGTATGTTAATACTTCAATACGACTCCTTGCTGGTGCATGGATACATACCTTTATGCATGTATGTGTGTCTCTCTATATTTCTTTTATGTGTCTGTACAATCTTTGCATGCATCTGTGTCACCGTGTGTGCATATTTGTGTGGGTGTGTGCATGTATGTCTGTCTATCAGATGTGCAACAGGTGAGGCATGGCAGGAGATCATGCTGGCATGCTCGCCCAACAAGCCGTGTGAGAAAGGATCGACCAATGAGAACAACTCGGCCAATGAGGACTGTGGCAGCCAGTTTGCCATCATTTACTTTGTCAGCTTCTACATGCTCTGTGCCTTTCTGGTGAGTACAGTGACAGATTGATTATTTTATAAAGTTAAGAAAGGTGGAATAAACTCACACTTCTTGAGATCTTGATACTTAAGACTAATTGTGCATCAGAGTAAGTAGTGGTTCCATTGTACGTGAGTAAGGAATAGTTGGACATTTTAGGAAATACACATATTCGCTATTAACTTCTTGCTGAGAGTTAGATGAGAGGATCAAAACGATCAATTGAGTTATTTGCTACACTATTTCTTTCTTTACTGTACAGATGGTACCAATCAGCAAGCAGTCAAATAAGCATATTTCCCAAAATGTTAAATTATTCCTTTAAAAGGTGCCTTTTATGTGCTGCTTTATGTTATGGTTATGATTTAAAACAGGTAATCTATAATCAACTATATTTTGTTAGTTTAGTTTCTGACTGACTCCTGACTCTCCCCAGATCATCAACCTGTTTGTGGCTGTCATTATGGACAACTTTGACTACTTGACGCGTGATTGGTCGATCCTGGGGCCACATCATCTTGATGAATTCAAGAGGATCTGGGCTGAATATGACCCAGAAGCTAAGTAAGTTTACAGATAATTAACAAAATATGCCATCCAAATAATTAATCTGTCATCTGCAGAGGTTCTGTAGAGAGTCACCACAATGTGACGTCTGTCCTGTTTCCAGGGGGAGGATAAAGCACCTGGATGTGGTGACTCTGCTGCGGAGAATCCAGCCTCCCCTAGGCTTTGGAAAGCTCTGTCCACACAGGGTGGCCTGCAAGGTAAACACACACCCACACACATGGTCCCACAAATTCCCAAACATGTTGTAAAGGCTGCAGAGTAGAAAATGTACAAAATATTTCATCAGGATTTCAAATTAATTCTGCTACTATTTTGGGGCAGAATTAAAACCACTCTATTCGCCAGGCATGATAAATATATACAAATGTATCTTTGTGAAATCAATGTGATGACATATTGACAACTCATAACACCTTCCACAATGACTCAAATGGCACATTGACAACAGATTGTACATGTAGAGAAAATATTTTTGATATTTAGACACTGACATCTCTCTAGAGGAAAATTAATAGTGACCATAATGCCAACTACTGTCAGCTAATTTTCAACAAATTGGCATCTGCCAGTATCTATTGGCAGCTGACGATGAAATTTACCTGTGCATCATTATATTTAAATATGTTGCCCGATCAAACAAAATGTTCTGTCTCACGCAGCGTCTGGTGTCAATGAACATGCCTCTGAACAGCGATGGAACGGTGATGTTTAACGCCACACTGTTTGCTCTGGTCAGAACCGCACTCAGGATCAAGACAGAAGGTAACAGACACACACATGAACACTAATGCAGTTGTACAAGCACAAGATACACACTTAGTGGGCATGTCTGCATATATACATACTGTATCTAGAGTATAAGATGGAAATTAAATGTATTACCATCTTTCCCAGTACAGTACAGTTCTTTCTTTTTTTTTACCTTTATTTGCTCAGAGAAACTACACACATTCACACTTTGAAGATGCCAAATGAACACGATATAACAACACCCATGGTCCTCCTGAATCCAGTATTAAATGCACTAACAATATACTATCCCGTAGATACAAATACAGATACGCTTGTGCTGACGCTTTCACACTGGATAGGCTGTGTGGCAATATTGTGTGCAACTGTGAAAATACTACTTTGAATCTACAGTATGTATACTGTTTGTGTTTGCAGGTAACCTGGAGCAGGCCAATGAGGAACTAAGGGCAATAGTGAAGAAGATCTGGAAGAGAACCAGCATGAAGCTCTTGGATCAAGTAGTGCCCCCTGCTGGTGGTATGTATACTCTTTAACACAGTTTCAAACACAGTCTCAAATAATAAACACAAATATTGAAAAGATGAACACTTTCAATAGTCATAACACTACTCGATTACATTTTCATTCATCAACTGCATCACCTGCAACATCATTTTTTTCTGAATAAAAGAGAGGCCTTATTCTAAGCATTAAGCTATTGTAATTATAATATTTATATTTCTTGCAGATGATGAGGTAACAGTCGGGAAGTTCTACGCTACCTTCCTCATCCAGGAATATTTCCGCAAGTTTAAGAAGAGGAAAGAACAAGGGCTGGTGGCCAAGGTGGCCCCCAAAACTGCCCTCTCTCTGCAGGTACAGTTGTTCATAAATATGTATATATTTGTTGCAGACATTCAGAAGACAACAGTTTTTGACAGCAAAATAACATAAAATTATTTTAAATGATCAAATAAATGTTACATGCGCAACACTTCATGGTGTTTGCTCTCTGTGTAGGCTGGCCTGCGGACATTGCATGACATTGGTCCAGAGATTCGGAGGGCCATCTCTGGAGACCTGACCGTGGAGGAGGAGCTGGATAAAGGCTTGAAGGAGCCTGTGTCAGCTGCGTCCGAGGACGATATCTTCAGGGTAAAGGTCGGATACACACACCCTCAGTCACTCTCCAGAGCGAGAGAGAAAGAGAGAAAGAGATGATCAGCGTCCAGCTTGAAGCCACATTATTGCTCTATGCACATACATGGACATGCTTGCATGTGCTCAGAGGTTCGAAAAGACATTTAAAAAGCCTCATTCTCCACTACATAGCTTTGCTACCAATCACTGCAGACTACTGAAATACATTTTAATAATTTGTCCTATGCATTTTGGAAGCACATCCACTAGCTGCAACTTACAAAATAAGAACGTCACATCTTTTCATAAAACGAAAACTTTCAAATCTAACATAACAATTTTTCATCTAAAAGTTGAGCTCTGTAACTGTTAGCCTCTGACAAAACTGACACACATACACACGCACACAGACACACACACAGTTCTTCGCTCACGGGTGAGTTATGCTACAGCCCCGACTGTAAATGCCATTGCCACATTCATGTTTTGTTTTGTTTACTGCTGTATTTCATCACTTACTATATGTAACACAGATAGACTGAAAAACATCTTAACTTTAAGAAAATCAAACCACTCTCTTGACACCTATCTATTATTGACCATTATGGAGATTTTATACCAAGATTTAGAGTCTGATTTATTCACTCTCATGATCATTCTGCTCCCATGTCAGAGATTTCATGTTAAAAGTCCATTTCTGATTTGGAGATACATTGCAAATACAAGCAGCTTGCATTTCCATCTCTGCTGAGTAAAGTTTGGTTGCTTATGGCAGTGAATGTTACAGTAGCAATAGAGTGTTTGAGTGTAGTAAGTTATACCGATACTGTGACATAAACATTGCTCTAACTCCCTGCCCTTTTCCACTATTACCGTCTCCTTTTCTACTCCTCTCCCTTTTCTGTCTCTTCCATCATCTCAATTCAATTTCCTCCACTCTTCATCTTTCTCTCTTTCTCCTCTCACCCCACAGCGTACTGGTGGGTTGTTCAGCAACCACGTCAACTACTACAACCAGAGCGATGGCCGCAGTTCCTTCCCGCAGTCCTTCACTACCCAGCGTCCCTTGCACATCAGCCAGAAGGGCTCCCCTTGCGAAGGCGAGAGCCCGTCCCATGAGAAGCTCATGGACTCTACCACTTTCACCCCTTCCTCTTACTCTTCATCAGGCTCCAACGCCAACATCAACAATGCCAACAACACTGGCATGGCTGGGGTGACGACCCAGGGAATCAGTCGATTCCCAAGCCCGTCCATAAGCACTGTGGACGGGCACACAGGACAGCCGCTCACTCCCATCCTGCTGCCAAGATCCGCGTGGTGCTTTCCTCCAAAGAGGTGAGTGTAGCCTGTACAGCAGGTTATATCTATGTCATATCAACCGTTGTTGTTCTTGTTTTTCTTGTATCAAAGTGATGTTTTTCCTTTCCTACTTTATATGCTGTTGAACTGAGGCAAGACTTATTAGTCTCTCTCTTTCATTTCCTGACCATCATTACAGATATTTAGCTGGCCATCTAATATAATAAACAACATGACATTTCAGTACAGACATAAATGGCTCTTTTATTTCCTTCATGTTCTTTTTCCTTCCTCCTCTCTTTCCCTGTCTTTTGTTTCTGGTGGCAAGCAGGACGTGTTTTTATGACACCCTCATGCGGTATGTTGCCAGGGGACAGAGAGAGAAAGTGTGTGTGCGTGCGCGTGTGTGTATATATATATATGTGTGTGTTGTGTTAGTCCCCTAAATTTGTGCGAAAAGGTTTCATAATGCTTTATAAAATGGCATCGCTGTCAAAGTGCTATAGTGAGAGTTGTTGCTATGCACATAATGTTTTGGTTGCTATAGCAAAAGCCAGGACTCTATGCTGCTACTATATCTATGGCTTTGATAGCAGATTATAGACTGTTTGGTGCAACGTGGCCAAACCTTACCTATCAAAGGCTCTTATTGCTGCTGTTTCCTTCTGTTCTATTGTATTTTATGGCAGGTCTGGGTTAGACACAATGTCTGCTCTTTGTCCATCACCTGTTAATTGTAATGTGTGGAAACATCTGAAAGCTCATACTTATCTCCTGTTGTGATTTTAATAGCTCAGTACATTTAGTGTACAATCTTGGAGTACTTAGTTAAAACAAAGCAGACTGTGCTCGGCTAACTAATATTGTGTTGTCATGGATGCTCTTTTCTTTTTGCCATTATAGAGGCAGGGGTCTAAGGTTGGTCTGTCTGTCCCTCAGTCTATCAGTTGGTCTGTCCAACTAGCTAGATTGTTATGAAATTTGCTCTCGATATTCATCGTCCCCAGTGGATGATTCCTAATGATTTTTGTGACCCCCTCACATTTTACTTAGTGTAATTGCATCCCCAGAGGATTAACTTTTTCCATTTTAGACCCAAGATAAGCTTTTAACAAGCAGATTGCTATTAAATTCTCTCAACACATCTATGCTCCATTGGTTGATTTTAATGACTCCTGTGGTCTCTATTAGTCCTGCCTTCAGGACAAACTTCATACTTGTGTGATATTACAGGCAAGGCTATGAGAACAGCAAATTTGTTTACATGTTGGTTATTTATGCCTTCCTGGAGAGACATTGCAGCTTCCAGGCGTTAACTAGCAGGGTTTTAGACTTCTATTTTTGTTTTCCAACCTGTTTTGGTTAGTCTGTGTGTGTGGACTGGCATCCTCTGAAGATTAAGATCCTTGGTAAAAAGACAACTGGGCTATAATTAATTAGAGAGGAGAGTTTAACTCATTCACTTTCCCTGCGTCAGGACAGTAAGTGATCTAGGATTAAGTGCTCCATTACAGGCAAAGCAAAGTATAAGCTTTCGGATGAACTATCTCTTTGGATTTGATTGATTTTTCGACAGGGTAACCTCCACCCAGCTGCCAAGTGAAATGAGCTTGATCAAACTCATCCAGAACAGTCTTAGTCAGGTTTTAATCAAAAGCTGTTCTAACCCAGAGTTTGCTTTGGAGCCCTTGAATAGCTGTGGATTAAAGGGACATCTTGACATTTAGAAATTTGATTTGTTTTTTCTTCACCAAGCAGTTCTTAGCAGACGTTTATGTGCCAGTGCCTGAAGAAAACAAAGAGCAGTTAATTGTATTTGTGAGTGTTCATCATTAAAAATAATTGGTACTGCTAACTTCAAGCTAAGCAGTTTGTAAAGACTCTTGGTTTTAATATAAAACAACCATTAGCAGATGGTTTTGGGCAGCTGACATGTTGTAGCTTTTTAGCAAACAATCTGATGAAGAAGAAGAGATTAAACTTCAGATGTCAGGATGTCTCCTTCAAGCTTAAGTCTGGAGTATGAAACGGATGTGGACAGATAGGGTGACAAGACATCTTTGGAATACAAAGAACATATAGCTTAATACAGATTATATGCAGAGTTTGGATTAAGCCTGTGTCTCAGGAAATAAATACCTACACAACCAAGATTTCAGCATTTGAAAAGAACAGGGAATAGGACAGAGTGAAAGACTTTGCTGTGTTTTTTGCTGACTAACTAAATTGTATCCAATTCTTAAAAGATGAGTAGCTAAGGCAGTATCTGATTTAGGACTTTATTGGTCTTCATCTTAAATGATAAGAACAGCATAAAAAGTGTTTCATTTCCCAGCAGGCTTACATTAAAATGCATCAGCTAATAACGTCAGCCAATATCTTGTCTCTCCTAATCTTTGTTTTTATAAAGATGTCTGCACCTCAGTCGTGCTATCAGTTTGTCATATTCCAGTTGTTGCCATTGATGCTTCTTACCATTTTGCTTTAACAAAAATAGTTCCCACCTGCTTTTCCTCAAGCTTTTTCTTCTTCTCAGTCCTCCTCTTTCCCTTTCCTACATGCAGTCGTTAAGCCTCACTAAGTCTCTCCTCTTAAGCTCCTCTCTGAGTTTTTTTACTAATCAGCTTCTTCTTTTTTTCTGTGTTTGTGTTTACATCTGTCTGCCTGTTTGTCTCCCTGTTTTTTTCCGTACGTGGTCTGTGTTTATGTTCTTTTTTTTTCTTTGTTTGTTTCGGGTCTTGTGATTGTTTGTTACTTTGTAGCTCGGACTCAAGTGACAGCCGTCTACCAATCATCCGGAGAGGCGAGGGGTCAACGGAGGAGACGTATGATGAGAGCTACGGCGACGACAGGGAGTACCACGAGGACGACCACTCGCTCTCCTCTGACATGTACTGCTGAAACAGACTCACACACTGAACAATTTAGCTTTCATGTCTAAATTTAATTAGTTTTTGGGTTTGTCTTTGATTAACTCTTTGTGTGTATGTGTGTACTCATTAGGCTGGTGTATCATGATGACACATGTAAGCAGTTGACTCCCATGGAGGAAGGAGAGGAGGTAGAGGACAGAAGAGGAGGAGGATGGCAGTCTCCCAGGAGAGTCTTCCTCTGTCCCACTTCTCTGGGTGAGTGGACATGTGCATGTGTTTACGTCAATACAATGCCACCTATTTCCAGGTTTTACTCATTTTTACATGCATGTATTTGTTGTCTGTGTGTGTGTGTGTGTGTGTGTGTGTGTGTGTGTGTGTGTGTGTGTGTGTGTGTGTGTGTCAGGGCGGAGATCATCCTTCCATCTCGAGTGTCTCAGAAGACAGTCAAGGCCAGACGTCTCCCAGAAGACGGCTGTACCTCTACACCTTGTACATCATCAGGTAGAAGTTGCCCACAGAATAAACACAAATATACTCTTACACCTGCACATGATCAGGTTGTAAATACAGTGTGTGAAGTTACATTTTCAGCCATAATCCTTCCTCCCCACTTCCTGCTCCTTTCTAACACCCTCCCTCTGCTCTCTCCTCCTCCAGGCTCTTGCAGTCGCAGGGTTGAGTCCTCTGTTAAGAAGGAGTCACTCACCTACCCTGTTCAGCCGGCTGTGCTCCACGCCTCCAGCCAGTCCCACAGGTATACTGCATCCTGTGCACACATTAAGTTTGTCAAATACTGGCCGAAACATTGCATTACATTTCCTCAGCAAGCAAAATCATACCTTTATTTAATGAGGGAAAAAACAGGCCACAGAATAGTGAAAATATCATCATCATTCTTATTATTCTTGTCATGTTGCAGCTTTGTCATTGTACTTGCTGATTTAGGTTTGTTTTCCTAATTGTTGCTTCTCCTGTCTTTATTTTCCCAGCCCATGGCAGTGATGCCTCCTACCAGCGAGTGCCCTCTCTGAGGCTAGAGGGCTCCAACTCCCATGAAAAGCTCAATACCAGCTTGCCCTCTGTCAACTGTGGGCCCTGGTAAGACTAAGTACCTCGAAAATAACAGCTACAAGTCACAATACAATTGTTCACATAGCAGTTATGATGATACTTAAGCTATTGTAGGAATGGTAATGATGATGATAAACAAATGTATTGCTCCCAGGTACAGCGACAGTAATGGGAATAGCCGGGTGCCCAGTCCTAGCCCCAGCGTGTCCAATCAAAGACCACCACGGCCGGTGTCGCTCACAGTGCCCTCGCTACTGGGAAAAGACTCCAGCTCACTGTCTCACGGCAGCGCAGGCAGTCTGGTGGAGGCGGTGAGTGTGTGTCTACAGGTTGGAAATGGTTAAACACTACTTGTTACTTAGTGTGCACTAAAACAATCCTCAATTGTGAGGATTTGCTGTTTTTCTTTGTCTCAAGGCCCCCAGGTTGGAAATCACTGACATTATGTATGGGTTGAGTTTGTTCCAGAGGGTCACAGGAGAAATTTGAGGAGTTCACAATATGTTCTACTACACAAATGTGAATTCTTATCTCCAACATTGTGAAATATTGGATAGTTTTACCTCTTTGGGCCTCAGAGATGTATTTGATTTGATTGAGAAAAATCCTTTAAAAGAGGTTTAGAGATTTATAGACTTCTGACACCTTTTATATTGGGTCGCAAGTAGATGCTGCTTTATTTTTAATTTTAAAACAACCAATTTGATGACATCACCTTTGGCTTCACAGATCAACTGATTATTCAAGACACTTATTAGGAGATTACATCGATAATGAATGCATCTTTTTTCTTTCTACATTAAAGTTTACTTTTCTCTGTCTCCATTTCACTCTATCTTTCTCCCTTCCTGTCTGTCCATTCCTCTTTTTCTCAATTTCCACTCAAGGTGCTAATATCAGAGGGTTTGGGTCATTTCGCCCAGGACCCCTCGTTCATTGAGGTGACCAAAGCCGAGTTGGCTGATGCCTGTGACATGACCATCGAGGAGATGGAGCACGCCGCCAACAACATTCTCAACGGCAACGCGGCCACGAAAGCCACATCTAGCACCTCTTCCACCTCCCAGCACAGCCCCAACGGCACCCTCCTCCCCTTCCCCACAGCAGCAGCAGCAACGCACAGGGACCAAGTGGTCAGCGAGGGCGGGGAAGAGGCCGGAGGAAGCAGAGGCTCCGTCCATGGGCCGTCCTCAGTGGAGGAGCGGCAGGAGCTGCTAGCAGGGGGGAGGGGACGAGAAGAGGAGGAGGAAGAGGCGGAAGGGAAGGAGGAGGAGCACCACAGAAGTTCGGTTGTGATTGGAGGAGCACGGCAGAGGAACAGCGGGCTGTTGGAGGACGAGGATATGGAGTGTGTGACGAGTTTGTAGGAGTCGGCTTGACGGGTTCGATCGGCCGACTGGCCCCTCTGACATCATCAGAGACTGACGCTTGTCAGTGCTGGGTAACAGCGCCGCAGCTGGCTCTGTCTGTCCCCGCCCCTCACACACACACAGACACACACACACACACACACACACACACACACACACACTGTCTGCCTCTCTGCCAGACATAACCGCTCTGGACACTGGCGGCCAGTGACGCAACCTTAAACACCTGGTTATGACTATGTTTGTTTATATGAGTTTGTATGTGTGTGAATATTTGTAGTAAAGTATACCACACTATACTCTATACTATCTGAGTGTATGCTTGTGTGTGTGCGTGTGATCTATGATTTTCTCTATTTGTACGTGTACGTGAGTGCGTGTGTTCTCCACACGTGTCTGAGTGTGTCTCTAAAGTGCCTCACAGTTTTATCATGTCCTCAAAGTGTGAAGAGCTGAAAAGTAGAGACAAGCAAAAAAAAGTGAGGGGAAAGTAGGAATGGAGGAACTGTAGAAAGGAAACAACAGAAGCAGGAAGTCCTTTTATGGATTTCCTGCAGTCGACATAGTGTGTTTATTGTTTTCATTTCCTCTGCCTACTTTGGTGTTGTGTTATTGTTGTTTGTCTGGCCGCCATGAAGCCAGGTAGGGGACAGCAGACCAGCTTGTGGAGGGGGTCAGTTAAGGATTCAAATCTGACCACACCCACTTGAGGTCAAAGGTCAACTCCTCCTTCTTGGTTCACTGATGATGAAGCGCTGTATTGAGTAAACGGGGGCAAGGAAAACCCTGTTTGAAATCTCATTTCTCTTCCTCTTCCAAAGCTAAGGAACCTTGGAGCACAGCCCTGCCAGCCTGGGGGTCGGATTAAGGTGAACCGCCACCCCCAGCCAAAGGGGGGGAAGGATTTGAGGGATGGACCAACAGCCACAACAGGCCTGCTGTAGGGGGCCACGGGCAGAGAGAGACACTCTCTGGCCCACAGGAAGCTAGCCAGCTCTTTTATCCGCTGGTTAATAAGATGCCAGCGAGAGACAAACTCGCCTCGTCACCTTGATCTGGCTTCGCCTCCTCTGCCGCTTTTCCTCTTTTGGCCACACCCACTTCCTGCCCCAAACAGGAAATGGGAGGAGCATTTGGTGGCTAAGCAGAGACAGCGAGCCCCCCTTTTCTGCCTCATACCTCGCCGTTCCTCACTCCTCCCTCTCTCCTTCCTCCCTCCTCTTTGGTTATTCCACCATCCGTCTCCCTCCATCGCTGGGTTTTTGCTTTTTCAGCCCTCGGGAGGTGAGTGTGTCGAACAGGGCAACAGAGATGGAGGGTGGAGGAGAGAACGGGAGTGACCGATTGAAATGAAAACAGACTCTGGGCATGGATCTACAGAGGATCTGTCCGTCAATCAACCTCACTTCCTTCTCCAAAACCCTCCTCTTCCTCTCAGCGTGGAATCCTATTGGATTTGCTGCCACACACTCTCTCTACAGACCACGCCCACTATGTATTTAACAGTTCAATATTGTGCAAAACTGGCTAGCCATGACTATTTTGTTTTATATTCATGATGTTATTGGTTTAATTTATCCTTGATTTGTTTGCACAATCGGGGTGCTGGTCTTATAAATGTATTTTTGCTCGGTTTATTTTAGGAGAATTTTAAGAGGTTTTAAGTATCGAAGCAGGGCGTAGTGTTTGCGTGCGAGTGTATAACTATATTTGTGCGTGCGGGTGTGTGTCTGCGTTTTAGTACAGGATGTATGTGTGTACGAATGTGTGAGATAGTGTGTATCTAAAAGGGGGGTCTTTCTCTCTATCAGTATGCACCTTTTACAGATTGTATCTATTTATTTATTTATTTTTCCCAGAAGAGAAAAAAATGCGTGTGAGGATGTACGTTTGTATGTGCGTGCGTGCCTGTGTTCGAGTGGTTACTTATGTATCCTAAAAAGCTTATTTTAAGCCTAGACAGTAAATTAAGGTAGCATTACAAGTATGGTATTGTTTGTGTGTGTGTGTGTGTGTGTGTGTGTGTGTGTGTGTGTGTGTGTGTGTGTGTGTGTGTGTGTGCGTGCGTGTGCGTGCGTGTAAGGGTGTGTGTGTGCGTGTGTGTGTGTGTGTGTGTGTGTGATAATGGGCCTCCTTAACACAGGGTTACCATGGACAGGCATGCTTCCAAAGCTTTGTGATTTCTTTAGCACGGTTTTTACTTTTTAGCCAAGCTGCAGAGTCAGAAGCCACTCTATCTTTAAAAAATTAGTCATCACATCATTTTCCTTTAATTTTTCTGTTTAGAGGTAGTTAGGCGTAAGGTCTCCAGCGAGGTCAGAGTGACGGTTACGTTTACAGCGGTGATGAGTTTCGGCATTGCAGCTTGGCCAGAAGGTAATGAGCCTTTTGGCAATTGCTGCTTTTCTTCTTTATGGTGGATGGTTGCTCTGAATGGTAGAAGCACCAAATTCATACTGCCACAGTGACGCCTCGTGAATGAACTGGGGGGGTGGATGACGCTCTGATCGCTCGGCTGTAACACACCGTAATCACATGAGTTCACCATTTAATCGTAGTTTAAACTCCAAATGAACTATTAGGGCTGGTGTACAGATGCTGCAAGACTTCAGGTCTGCTCATATCACAAAACCTTATGATTTATTGTCATTGTTAGAAATAAAACAGTTCCTTGTCTGTAATATCATTTACTGGTAAAAAATTAAGTACTGAAAAAATTATACTACAAATTTACTGGTAATTGATAAGATGTGATAATTGGTTGGTTACCGTGATACATTATTGGATACGGATCAGAAAACTGTCAGTTTGGAGGGAAGTTGCATCCTGGATGATCCCCTGGTGTAATTTTTGTCTTTTAATTTTTTTGTAACAGATTTTAGGTAGCATGCTGACAACTTTTTATTGAACTTTCTCTATTATGGCACAGGTATGGACCTCAGGCCTCAGTACATTACACAGGGCACAGGTCTTTCTTTGCTATTGTATCTTCTCCAAAAAAAAAAAAAACATTCCTAATGTCAGTATCACATCCTTGGTACCAACTGTCACATTCATTAAACTACTTCATAGTATTTAAAGCTGAATGATTCAGCTTTCTGAAATGTTAAGTTACAAGTTATACTAACCACTCAAAATTTGGAAGATAATTGTTGTTACCACCACAATCCGGACGCAAACTCAGCTAGACATTAGGATAGTAATGAAAGTCTTATCTTACCAAACCAGTGCTAACATGCATATCCATCTAATAATTTTATGTTAAGGTTATAGCATTAAAAACGGCACTTTTGAACTCTTCTATTAGCTCTAACAAATCCAAATATGTTGAAGTAGCCTAGGACAATTCAAGAAATACATTTAAAATATATATTCTATAATTTATTTCTAAAAATGTCATGTTGAAAAGACACTGAAGTCCTACCCAGAGACACTATTACATCGACTTATAGCCATTAGTTTTCACTTTAATTTCCCATTAAGGACTACCTGCTGAGCTCTCATTCCTACATGTTAAGCAGAGCAGGTTTGTGGCAGGGAAGGGTATGCATGAACACACTGCCATACACTGCATCCTGTGCCAGTAACAGACTTCTGACATTATTATGCAAACTAAATGTGAATGTTGAACGTGTTTTTAGCGGCAGTGCTGTTGTTGTTTTGTGGTTATGATCATACTGCGAACCCTGAAGAAGTCTGTGTTGTCAAAGGAAATACCCTCCCTGACATTTAATCTGTTGTTGTTGTTGTTGTTGTTTTTTCATATCCAGGATCCTTTGGCTTTGTGAAATATCTCTCCATCATTTCTTTCTTTCCTTCAGTTTTTCTAAAAGCACCTCACTAAAATAGTTCTTTATCGAATTAACTTGGTATCATAAGCTAATAAGCTACTTTGCGGATAGTGGCTCAGTTTCAGTATAAGCTGGGTTGGTTTTTTTTGGTCAAACTTTAAGTCTAAAAAGTTAGGAAGGCAGATTTAGGTATGGTCAAGCATATTAGTGTGTGCAAGGAAGCATCTGGGTTCAGTGTTTGAACTTTAAAGTTCACACAGTCTCACTTTGTGCTTGGCTTTTTGTTTCCACATTTGGGTTAGATCAGCCCTGGCAAAGTTAATTTAACCCTGAATTAAAATGAGTTCTCCTCCTGGTTATTTATGCTAATTTACCTGATAAACCAATGGCTTATTAGGTCTAAATCATCAATAATAAATGTAACCAGCAGGCACCTGAAGTGTAAAGTAGTAGATTTTGTATCCAAGCTGCTACAGAGGAGCAAGCGTGTCTGCTTTCTAACAACAATTTTATCAGCCAATATTGCAACAGCTATGAATGTCTCTCTCTCAAGACAGTTTTGATAAGACACCATGTAATGACCATGTCACTTTAACGAATCAATGAATTATCCAATACAGAACCGTTGTCAGACCTCACCAGGTTGAAATTAGGATGGGAATGTTTCCACAAGCCTGTATATTTAGTTTTATCATTTACAACCATAGCCTTAAGATGAATAATCCTAAATACATTCATACATGTTCAGCATCACCTCCAGCTTTGAGGATAAAAGATCATATATCATCCATACATGCACATAGAAACTACATTCACTTCAAATCCTTTTACTTTTGTGTTCCTAATAAATCTTCATTTACATACTATAGAAACAAATTCTTCTATAGAGTAACCCTGCATATCATACGTGCCAGACCAGGCTTCGTTGTGTCTGTTTAAAGGCTCTTTGGGTTCAAATGTAGGTGAGAGAGATTCAGAGGCCTGTGGTGCCCCCGTGTGGAGTGGAGCAGCATTCCAGTTTTATGTTCTGTATAGGTTAGCATGAACTATGAGGTGTTGTGTTGCAGTATATGGTATGAGTGGGTGTAATCCTGCATCCCACAAGATATGCAAAAACAATGCAATAACTATGACTGTATACAAGGTTCCCGAAGTAAATATACTTGTGAAAGTGAAAAAAAAATCAAGATCATGACAATGTTTTTTTTTTTTCTTCCGTTTGTTACATTTTTAAGTAAACTCAGTGGTTTCCATGCCAGAGAAACCTAACATACTTGAAATCAGGTACATTGCAGTGCAGTATAGTAAAGATGTATTTATTTATCTTTCTCGTGCCAGGGTGTTGGATCTGCATCTGCAGTCAAAAATGTGTGTTGATACAGTGACGTGAAATTGGTGTTTTTGCTTGTGGTTTGACATCCATGACATCAACAGAGACCTGGAATGAACAGCTGAACATTTATTTTGATGATTCAGCAGCAAAAACAACTCACTTCACCTCCCTGACTCAATATGTTTTTGATTGTATCCTTTTTCTCTCGTTTGATTCCAGTTAGTTTTTAAATGGATTGAGCTACATGGGTGTACCATCAGTATTGCATGAGGTTCACATGTTGACATTGAGCGTGCCAGGTTTTGCAGTCGTTTTGTTTCTATCAGGTTAAGTATCATATCACATTATGACAGAGTAGCTATTTCTATTTAGTGTACATATGATTAAAGTCAGTATTTCTTCTTTAGATAAACATCTGACTGTGGACAGCAGTGGAGGGGTATTTGGAAGGTGATTTTGCATATCTTGTGTCTTATGGGCTCTTCTGATTCTTATGCTTGAGATGGACAGAGCTCGTGTTTATATGATTGTTGAGGAATTGAGAGAAAAAGCAAACTGAAGTATTTTTACTCCCCAGCTTAGACAGGCGTCGCTACTTATTTACCTACGTTTTTCCAGAGTCTCTGTCTTCAGCTTCTATCTTTTTACTCGTCTGACATGTGGAAGATGGACAGGTGGGAATAATCTTTATGAAATGGACAAAATCATTACCCATAATTAGTTTCTTTTACAAAAAAAAATATTGGTGGATAATATTAGAACACAGGCAGCATACACATGTTATTGCTTACTTGCTATATTCAAGCACAAAGTGAACAATACATGAAGACAAAACTTTAAATCCACAGGTTAACCTGAAGCTGTTTCCCAATTCTATACCACAATAATTCACAAAGGAAATGTAGAAATGAAAGGGGTCTGTCCTAGCAGTTTTTAGTGTTGGCATTGAATAAAATTGGGGGAATCATAATAAAAGAAGAGTAGAAATTGATCCTCCAGAGTCACAGAAGACATTATACATCTCTTTTTACAGGTTTATAACAAGTTAACGGGCATTGTGTATGTGTGTCCCTTTAAAAAACTAATTACAGATGGCAGTACGACAGTTCCAGAAAGTTTACAAATAAAATACTCTCTTCTATTATTTTGAAGACATTAGACAGCCGTGTATTGCATAATTTCCTGTTAGTATAAAATGTTTAAAGTATTAAATATGCTGATTTCTTATACCAACTGCAAACACATACACATGGGATTTAGTATACAGGTAGTGTGTAGTATGGAATTGGAACAGTCCTTTTCAACAGCTGCAAATCACATTGTCCACCCTGAGCCAGGTCTGTACGCTGTAGATAGTTGTAGACTGCAGCTGTGCCTGCTGGATGTCCACCTTCAGCTAGCTAGAGTACAACCACACCCCTCTGCCGTAAAGGGTGCACTTCAAATTCAAGTGATTTCTTCAAGCGAAAGCAAGGATAGAGAGAATAAAAGCCGGATGACAATCTAGTGTTGATGGATGATGACAATGGGAAGCATTGAGGGTTTGGTCTGAGTAAGAATATTGGATGAAGAGTATTTTTTGGTTTTATTTCATCATGTTTGAATTTCAGGGTAGTCTTAAGTTCTGACATGGTGAATTATATATCCAAGTAATGTTTTATGTGATGTGCATGGGTTTCTCTCTCTAGGGATATAAAGTATTGGTCCTATGTGAATGATAATATCTTTTGTCTCACCACTAGCCAATGATTGTATATTTTTATATACCGTATACCATACTATAGCAAAGATATATATGAATATATAATATTTAATCACCAGAATGTTAGAGTAAGGAAAGGGCAGGACACTTATTTGGGAATGTAGTTATTGAAATACTGGTTATGAAAATGTGTTATATAGGCCTACTGACTGTCAGTATGAATTTATTGAACAAAGTCCCACTTTATTGACTGTATTTTTGACCAAAAGGAACCAGCAGGGAATAATGTAGTTATATTTACTGAAGAAGAAATATTGTATGTTCAAGCTGATGGCATATACACAATGGGCTTGGATGATTCCCAGACGATGTGGCGTTTCAGTCCTTACAAATATGACTCTATTTAAATATGATTAGCTGCAGAACACACACAACAGAAAGGCTACTTCACAATTTGAATCTTCTTAAATACAGGTAAGTAAATCCATTACCAGTGCTGTGGCTGTGGAGGCTCTTTGTTCAGCTTTTGAGGACACTAAAGTATAGAAATTAATGCTGCCAAACAATTTGACACCTACTTTAAGCTAAAATGCATTTGCTTATGTGTTTGTTTGTTTTGCGTGAAGTGTTCTGAAAGACATTAACCAACCAGCAACCTGTCAGTGCAGGTCAAAGTCTGGACATTTTTCCTGCTGTAGCACCGAGAGATCCTTCTCTCTTTCACTAGTCCTACATCAGCGACACACACACACACACACACATATATACACTGTAAACTCAAATGCTTTTTTTAAGCTATTAAAGACATCTAACCAAAAAAAATCCGCCAATTAAGGACTAGATCTCTCTATGCTTTAAGCCATTACAATCATGTAGCTTCAATTTGTTTTCTTCCAAGGAAGAAAATTAGGAGACTTGGACTACATCTGAACGCAGACAGGGAAGTTCAGCAGCTGACCAACTTAATAATTTTGTGTGTTTATGCAGCAGAGTAAAATGACTTGTTGGATTTAGGCTGGAAGAGAAAACACTTTGTTTACGTGGAAGAGCTGCTATATATGTGAATATAGTTAAAGCTGCTCAGTTTTAAGAAAAGATGTCATCCAACATGTTTTAACAAAAATAGTATTTTACACACATATACCATTTAAAAAAGAATTAGAGTTGTGTGTTAATCCTAAACTATACACAGACGTGTGTTACGTATCAGAGAGAGCGAGGCTGGAAAGCAGGAGTCGTGTTATTTCTCCCGTCTTGGTCATTCAGATTTCCTCATGTGGATCTACCTTCAGATATATTTTCTAGTAAACAGAAGTGTTTGTTGATCATTGTTTGATCCAGACAAAACTATTTTAAGAGGACTATTTTGAATATAGATTTTTATTTTCCTTTTTTTCCCAGGTAAAAATCAGCATAGCCTGTTGTAGGAGTCTAATTTATCAAATTAAATCCAATTAAAATATGAATTCCCTTCTCTAGAGAAACAAGAGAGGATTGTCTCTTTGTTTGTCTGTTGTACAAATGTTATTTTGACACCAATGCTGATGAACGCTTTAGGAAATGGAACAGAAAGTGAAAGAAGGAATATATTATAAAATACAAGTTAGTGCAAGTGTCTTCTATTTTAGATATATATATATATATATATATAGAAAACAATATCTGAATTATAAAATATTGAATGAAAGAAATCAAATTGAAGGAAAATGCCCACTGTTAAACTCAACATACTGGCATTTTCTATATACCGGACTGACAGGACAAATGTTTTAATGGCTTTACCATCAGCTGAATGTTTGCTTTTACAAATCATTATCGATAAGTTTCCTTTGTGTGAAAATTAGTCTTTGTCTCTTTGTTGCCAGTGCAAAAGTAGGATTATAGGGAGAAACAAAATACATGCAATGGAATTACACATTATATCGGTACGTATTTAGACATCTGAAGGACTAATTATAATCTTGATTAACTGTCAAGAAATTAGGCACCAGGCTGGGAGGTTATGTTAATAAGGACTTTTTGTGTGCACACATTCAATTTACTGCTTGCAAAATTTTAATAAATTTGTAATAATTCATTTTGGAGGAAAACTTATTCTGGTGTCAGAAAGTTTTGAAATCATAATCAGTATTGAAAAAATCTTAACCCTCTGCTGCACTGGCTCATAGTGACACTCAAACACTCACAGACGCATGTGGTGAGGAACAAAAAATATGAATTATTTACAACCCTCTTCCTTTTTCCCGGGGCTGGAGAGCCCTAACCATTAGCCAAATAAATAATATTTGCTTGTCCGATAGATGTAGAGATAACATAGGATAGTTAAGATATAACTTACCCATTGTGTAGCAGCACCTACAGCAGCACCCATATGTGAACATTTAGGATGACTGTTAGTATTGTAAGGACCTCGAAAGCCTTGTGTTTATCACTCATTCCTTCTCTTACTGTTATTTGTACACTTAAATTAATAATAGATCATAAAGGTGATCCCTGTTTGCACATGTTGGAGTATCTGACACAGAGATTGCTCTTTGTGTTTCACTTTTTTTGGAGAACGCTGCACCCACAGCCTATTGATTGAGGAGAGGAGTTTTCTGTACCAGCTAGTGTTTCTAACAGTGACTTTCTTCAGGATATTACTTCAGCTAACAACTCTCAGCTCTAGAGGTGTGGCAGCAGCTTTACGGTGCAGTGAAACCATAAATGGTTCTGCACCTGCTACTTCTCTCTCTTATTTCACTGATAAGAGCTACTTAATGTTGCACCATGAATGATAATGATTTCATCCCTTGAATGTAGGACGCAGTGATGCTCATACATATCTGAAAAAGCCACATTTAGTGTTTGAAAGTTGGATTTCGGTTACTGGTTTATGTTTGGATATATTCCTTTTTTTAGAAGCCCTTAATGGAAGAAAGTATTGGAAGTTTCAGCCATCTGCCTCAGTTTTGATCACCACAGACATAAAAGATCTGATTTGACCTCTGCGCAGACACATAGGATCGCTCCAAACCTTGATTCCAAGTGGTTTCGTCTCGCTAAGAAAGACACATTTAACCACAAAAGAGTTAGAAACAAACAGGTCTTGTATGCCTGTGTGTGTAAAAGCAGCTTTAATGAATGACTTGGCCCATCTGAGAGCATCGGCAGTGTCGTGTACATTATCAGTGTTTTCTTCTGTGAGCTATTTCTTGCTGGTGTGGAAACGCCTCTTTAACAGCATGCAGGCGTTAACAAAAATCTTTTTACCCAGGCCTTTTGCCAGCCTGACGATATCAATGGCAGGGGATCCACGGCTCCATATACAGTAGTGTTCAACGAAAAGCTTTTCTGTTCCTTATTTACTGGGTAAATGCCAGCAGGGCTGTGCAGCTCTGTTCTCCACTGGTCAGTAGTGTCTTATGATCTTGTTCATAGTCTTAGTTCACTACTCATGCAAAGTGTTAAAGGGCCTATGACAGGATTGAGCTGTTTGTTTGTTTTTGTTTGTCGGAGAGAAATCTGTTGTTAATCCTCGAGTTTATTTTGTACGGAGAGAGGTGTTCACACAGAGACCAATTTGTTGTAATATTAGTAGTGACGCTACTGTTAAATGTAGTATTTAATAACAGCACTATTTATGGTCAAAAAAATGAACTAGAGTGTGTTATTGTACTTGCGGTAGCTTTGGAGGCAGGTGGCCATTTTGTATCTGAGTTCTTTTAACATCCATGCGAGGGATTTCATTGGTTCTGAGGTTGCTAAGTGACACTGGCCCAACATCATTTGGTTTCCTCAGTTACCATTCGTCTCCCCGGTGACGACTGCATGGTCTCACAGTGGACACACCCTTTTTTCTTCTTCTTCTGCTTCTCTTTCTTTTTTCTAAAGGAGAGTTCTTGATTTTTTTTTCATTCATTTCATTTTAGATTTTAGAAAGGGAAAGAATACAAATCAAATGAATCAGAATATTAATTCAATCACTTTTTCTACTCCTATTTTCAATAAAAAGTGAAACGAAAAACCAAACAAAAAGTTGATTTGTAAATAAGTAATGTACAGTTTGTATCTGTAACTTGTCAGTCTGTCATTGGTGACAGAGTCTGTCTTGCTTATAACGCACGCTACCAGTAAATAAAAAAAGGAAAAAGTATATTTAGACTGTATGGTCCCTTGAAAGCAAGTTTTAAATTAATATCTGATGTATATTCCTGTAACATTGCATTTTTATCTGAGGAATGATGTTATTAAAAAATTGCAAATAAATTGCATTTCCTACAGCTGTGTTTTTCAATTCCCTTTAACAATTGCATTTCAGGTCTTTATCCTCTCATCATAATCATAATCATCCTCTCATTATAAACATCATAATCATATTGTGTATGTTTTTATATATGTTTCTGTAAGGCTGATTTAATTTGTATGTTCTCCTGAGACTGTCCATAATACCTTGTTTAATGGTTAATAACATTAATATATAATGAATATATATTCAAATATACCTCATTTGGACATAAACTCTCAAATATTCGAGGAATCCAAAGGTTCACTAACTGTGGATCAATGAATTAGTCAAACAAAAGGTGCCACAGGTAACAGTGGAGTTGTAACAGACAATTGTTTGTATTTATACTCAAATAGCACAATGTAAATGATGTGTTACCAGTTTATGCTCACCTCATACATATAAATTATAGACATAAAGTATGATATTCCGATATTGCACAATTACTGTTCACAGGATCATTGGGGTAATTTGGCAGGTTAAGTGTATTTAACTGTACTACTAACACATTACATTTCAGGACATAAAAACCCTCTTATAGATAGCTCTTTGAGGTAATCTTTGAGGTGTCACAGCTTTTCAGCTGTGTGTGAGGTTACTTACAGTCATTTTGCTCAGTTTAAAATGACTTATGATTCTCTGGCAAAAATAATCAGTCAGTATTGGTGATTTTGTACAGCTGCTAGAATGCACTAGTTTGGTAACCATATATAATAAAGCACATAACAGGAACTTCAAATACTTTACTTTCCAGTTGTTGCTGGTGAGTACACATTAAATAACTGCCGTCCTTAAGGATAATGACTTTTAATTTGCCTTTGGTACAGATAAAGGCAATTTCGGTTTTACACAGGTTTTTAAAAAGACATGACAAGGTGAAACAACAGCACTGAAAGCTTTACATTACGTATCAGGTTTGTGAGTTGCCAAATGTCTTTTGAGATTCCCTTGCTGGGAGAACTCTCGGTCACAGTTTGGACACTTAAACGGTTTCACTCCATTGTGGCTGAGCGCGTGTCTCTTCAGACAGTTCAGCGTGAGGAAACGCTTCGGGCACTCTGAGCACAGGTACGGTCGCTCCCCTGTGTGCGAGCGTGTGTGCACATTTAGGTGACTCTTGCTGGAGAAGCCCTTCCCGCAGTGGGTGCAGGTGTACGGCATCTCGCCCGTGTGAGAACGAGTATGCAGCAGCAGCTCCCCGGAGGACAAAAATGACTTCCCGCACATGGTGCACAAGTAATTCTTCTCCCCTCTGTGCATCTGCATGTGCCTTGCGATGCCTGCTTTGCTGAAGCCTTTCCCGCAGATCATGCACAGGTTGGTGGGGCCTTCATGCAGGCGTTCGTGCTGCTTGAGCGAATAGTTGCACAGGAATCCCTTGTTGCACTGGCTGCAGATGAATATCCGTCCTCTCTTGTGGAGTCTCTGGTGCTGGTAATAACCTGACGAGCTGGTGAATCCCTTTTCACATTGGCTGCAGTGGTACGCATAGCCGTGGAGCTTAATGTGAGTCTTCAGTTGATTTGGATGTTCAAAAACCTTTTCACACTTAGGACATCTGGTTTCTTCTTCCGTGAAGTTTTTGTCCACAACTCGTGTGCTCAGAAACCTTTTATCTTCCCCCGTGGGCTCTTTGCGTGTGCGTCGTTCCTTGTTTTCCAAATTGTCCTTCTGCTTAAGTTCCCGCTTTTTTTCAACACCATCTTTTTGTTTGCGTGTCCTCTTTTTCTCCGAGTTGCCTCCTACTTTCTTCTTTTTGGCGTTCAAGTCTTTAGTCTTCTGTTGGCTGGCTTTTTTCACAGCTAGTTTTTTCTGAATGGGAGCTGTTACGTGGTGCTCACTCTGGATGTGCTCTTGGACCTTCCTCTTTATGCGGTGAGCGAATGAACACTGGGGACAGATGAATAAACGAGACAGACGACCTGGAAACAGATTGAGAAACAGCAAGTTAGTAAAATAAAATTGACCGATTCTCGACCAATCCTGGTCTGCTACTGCAGCTGATTTTGTCTAACCTGATTCCCTCTTTGGCAACCACTCCTCTGCAGCAATGTCTGAGCTTTGACTTGAATCTTCTTCTAAATCTTCCAATGCGAGGGTCTCTTCCTCATTGTCATAATCATCGTCCTCACTGTAAGCCTCAGTGAACTTCTCAACTGTTTGGACAGGGAGGGCCAGGGTGGACAAAAGGATATCTTCCTCGTTGATGGAATGAGCTGTAGTAGAGGAAGGGGCTTTTTTTTTTTTTTTTTTATTTGTTGTCAAAGAGAGAAAACAAGACAGGATTGTCACAAAATGAGCAAGACAGCAGGGAAGAAACAAGAAAACAGAGCCTTTTCACACCTTGATCTTTTACACCAATGGAAACTACTTACAGAACTTTGTTCCTTGTGTCTTTTCTGTTAAACTTACCAGAGCTAAGAGTCCCCAACTGTCTGTGATGAAACAGCAGAGTCTTCAGAGCAAAGGGTTCAGACTGATGCTGTCCAAATTCTTCTGACACTGATGTTGTTTCAGTGAGCCATGCTGCTGTCTGAGACACACAAAGAAGACAACAGAGATGCAGGTTGGCAAGTGAAACAATACCATCCAAAGCAAAAGCACAAAATGACGAAAATCCAGTGACAATGTTTGATGTTGTGGGTCAAAATAATCTTTATTTTAGTTGAGAAACAACACAGTGAACTTCTGATTTCATTTCATTTTCCTTTTAAACTGAAAAACAAGAACCAATGTGGCTGCACAATTCATTGTTACATATTCATTACATACATTGTTACTAGCCCATTAGAAGGATTTTGTTATTCGCTACAGCCTTTGCTAACTAGCTAAAGTATGCCTTCAACATCCCGCAAATGCATCTTCCCTGGAGGACAAAAACTGCAGAGCAGCTTGGTCACTTTTTTTTTTTTTTTCAAAGGATAGAAGTTGGCCTCAGTGAAAAATGTTACTTAATTTACAATACCTGTTATAATCAAAAGATACACGCTTTTTATTCAGGATTAATAATGTGTAAAACAGTGGGAGATGTTTTGTTGAATGTAACAGGTTTGGTGTCAGACAGTACCTGTTGCAGATCTGGTATGGGCAGCAGCTGCTCCAGCCTGGACAGGAACTCAGACACCAGCTGCTGCAGTCTTTGGTCATAGTTAGAGCCGTAGTTTGCAGGAAAAACCTCCTACAGAAACAGTCAGAGCTTTGGATTTAAATTATCAACACATTGCTGCTGTAAATGGTTGATAAAGATATTTAAGAGATATGTATTTCTCACAGATAGACTCACTTGGAAGAAGATCTCCTTTTCAAAAGGAACATTCAAAAGGTTCTGAACCAGGCTGGCAAAGTTGGTGTAAGAGGTCTTCAGTATATCAACACTGGCCTGTCACGAAGTAAACAACAATAAAGTTGTTGGGTTAGAGGTTTCCACTACTGTGTTTACCTTCGGTTTGTATTCAAAAACAGTAATGGCATAACAGATCATTTTTTGTGGGATTTTTGAGGACTATGAGAACTTCCTGGATTTCTAAATGTATGTGCTATCCATGGTTTGTTTATGGAGCAGCTCTGAATATTCTTTAAAATCCAACCATTTGGTCAGTGGTGCTCAGTTCAGCACTGCAGGCGTGGATTTTATCCAGGTGGCTCTGGATGGTCTGCAGGTTGGCGACGCCATCACCACGACACAGTTCCAGAACCAGCTGCAGTGGGGCAAAGGTGGGAGACAGGTAACTCAAAAGAGCACGACACAGCAGGGACAAGATTATGAGAAACCGGGCAATAGTATGATAGTTGTTGTATGTTAAAAGACAAACAAGATACACACCAACAACAAAGTAATAAATGAGGAAATAGGAATATCTTTCCTCACAAGTAATTAATTTCAAAATCGTGAAATGATAAATACTAAAGTGAATGTTCAACTGCACTTTAAGGACTTCTCATCCATGTTGGCTAAAAATTCATTCTTGATAGTTGATAATCATATTTGATCAAAAGCTGTAGAAAAGCTAGTGAGTGGACCTGAAATGTTGTTTTTGTAGAGTAAAATACATCGTACATCATTATGAGCCCTGACAGGTGAAGTGAATAACACTGATTATCTGGTTATCATGGCACCTGTCAGTGGCTGGGACATATCAGGCAGCAAGTGAACATTTTGTCCTCAAAGTTGATGTGTTAGAAGCAGGAAAAATGGGCAGCGTGAGCGACTTTGACAAGGGCCAAACTGTGATGGTGAAGGTAGGAAAAAATAAACAAGTAAAATGTGTCTCTTGTGGAGCCACTGAGAGAAACAAATACCAAACAGCACCATCTTGGCATCACTGACACACATATTTAATAAAGCTGACAAAAAGTAGTTCCTCACCCTTGCACTCAGGCCCAGGATGAGCTGAGCTCTCTGGCTGGGACTCAGGAGCTCTGGGACGATCTCTGTCGCCAAACTGATGAAGTCCACCAGTTTGTCATACTGCATCACTCTGTGCTGCTGAACTACTTGCCACATGAAAGCAGACATAAGTCTCACTGGAGGGACAAGGAGATGTAAGGAGGCCGGGGGAAGAGGGGGGCCTGGAGAGGACATTTGAGACAAGCGTACTCGAATGAATGAATAAAGTACATTGTCTCTACAGAGGCTCAGATAATCATTCACAACCTATTTGACCACAACTGTATTCAGCATTAGCAAGCTAACGGTAGCTTAAAAACATTAGTAACTCTAAAAATGACCGACTGCGACCACTAACAGACAACTTGATACATAATCGCACAAACCTTTGCTTTTCCACGCCATTCTTTGGTTTAAAAACGTCTTAACAATGCACAAAATACCCCTTCAGCATACATTTTACAGAGCAGGGAAACACATTCACAACTTCCGGGTAAAACGGATGTTATGAAAACTGTCTTGCTGTTTGCGTATTCCTTCAAAATAAAAGCTGGAACGTCCAGTTCTGTTCTATTCAAAATAAATGTGTCGTTGTGATGTAATAATGA